CGGGTTGTGCTGGATCAACTGCAAGTACAACTTGAAGAATTGCTTCTTTAAACTGTTGATTGTCAGCGATAACATGTGAGAGCGCAATACTTGAACACCATGATGCAACTATGTCTTTACTTAAATAACCAACGATTAAGAGATGACCGAATGTACATTGACTCGTTGCTGAAAAAGGATGAGTGTTTTAGAAAACAGATCGAGATGTGATCAAGAGAAAAACGAACCGGCTTGAGATTGAGGCAACAATGATTGTATGACTATTGATTTCCCATAATCATTTTTATATAAATAGCACTGAAAGCAATATAGAATCGATATTCGAAGAGGAAATGATTGCTTCTCTCCAGTGACCATTATATACAGAAGGCTTAATAAGATTGGCCTAAAAGACGCGTTATTATCAACATGAACAGATTTGGACGACTACAAACTGTTGGGAATCAATGGTAGTGTTCATCACAGATCCAAAAAACTGTTGATTCTCAGTATTACCACGAATAATGTCACCAATTGTATTGATCGTCTACTCATACTTGAGAAGGTTTTATACGATACAAAGAACATGACTTACTTCTGCTAGAACATCCGATGGTATGGAAGAGACTGTAAGCATGACACATAGACGATGTAGAAGGCCTTTATGGACGACTTAATTAGTTCTACTTTCGAGTAGGATCAATGTTGACACTTACCACATTGACTAACCGTTCGTTGACATGGTGTAATATGCTGCACTGAATTCGTCGGTGACACAAGTGTTCGAATAACCTTTTTACACAAGAATGAATCCGATTGTGTCAAATGGAATCTGTTCGATAGTTACTTGTAATAGAAGATGAATATTGGTGATTTTTTGCGTTGACCAACGTTTGTCACCGATTGAATTCAGTTCGAAAAAGTCAACGAGTCGACGAATAAAGGAGCTTTCACGAAAATAACTTTGATTCGATGTATTATTTTTCAATAAATTTAATAAAACAGTTAAACAATCTTGGACAATCACGCCTATCGATAACGACTTTTCTGAGCAAATGAAAACGAACTATATGGATTATCTACCTCCTTCACAACCACCTTCGCTGCTAAGAATTTCGAATAAACGTTCGAACCCATTCTCAAACGAGACTATTTTTTGAATATTTGCATTTGATTGTGTTAAAATTTGAAGAAGAAGAAGTGCCTGTGGAAAATAAAGCAGAGAATATTCGCCGTAAAATCAAAGCCAATGTTTTACATCATTTCGAATCACTTCACGTTCATCCTGCAGTAAATCAACTAGTTTTGAAACACCCATTGGTCCGCTCTCGAGAGTAATATTTTGTAGTAGTTTCGTGCAGTTTGTTAAAAGTATCGTTAGGAATTTAATCGCGGCACGTCGAACATTAAAATCGGTTTCCTGAAGCATGCCAAATGTGATTCGTCAACGCATGAATAGATCATTTCTTAACTTACTTCAATCAGATCAAGAGCGGCATGAACATTTTCTTTATTTTTGACAAATAATTCTGAACACAAATGGCGAACTTCTTCGTATCGCATTCTAGACAACATGATTACCTGTGAATTGAACAGTGATGTCTTGTGGTAAATTTGGCTGTTCTAAATAACATATTCGCGCTGAACGACACCAACATTGTGATGATTCCTACCTTCGCTATTGTCAGCCTCATATGTCATGACATTCGTCAACGTTTCTAATGCTAATTGAATGAGATCCAAATCAGTTCGATCTCCTTGTAAGATGTTAGCTAGTAAAATCATGCTCTGTGTGCCGACTTCGAGTTTACATTTCTATTTATCTTCGTAGAACCTTATAATTATTTGTATATATGACCTACTTTCGAGAGACCTTTTAAACCACGTACGGCATCTCGTCGATCTTCGATTCGTGTTGCTAATTGCAGACGATCACAGAGACGTTCGATCTGTAAGTCGACGAAGAATTTGTCGTAGTGTAAAGAGGTTTTGGTTTATCTTTTACCGTTTCTTGATGATTAGTTGTCTCATTGACTGGTGTTGTCGACGATGCTGATGACGAAAATAGTGAAACACCACGCAGAAAAGCCATTTTATATCTTAAACAAAGCAAGTCTGCCCGACTTCTGTCTTCATATAGGAACAAAACCGCGACAGGTAGTATTTTTCACCAGTAAGAGGAATCCACTCCACCGAATGAGAAACGTGTCGTTATCAAATGTAACCGGTAGATCTACTTATCAAAAGAGGTCTCTAATTGACAGGCAGTCTTCGAATAAGTACTAGCAAATAATTTGACTTCAAAACAGAGACGTCCAAACGGTCTCCAGCAAATAGATCGGTTTATTTAAAAAAAACACTAATACTTTTCCAATATGGAAAATACGAAGATGTTTAGGAACAACACAGTAACAGAAAACAAGAAAAGAACAAAGCAATAACAGGAAAATCTTTCAAAACAATGCTTATCTTAAATCATCTGACATCATTTACGCTTTTTCATGGAAGAAGATGTTGAACTTTGCTTTCCTTGGTCATGATGACTGGATTTTGTTGAGGTGATGTTTTCAACATCGGCATCATCTTTTTCGTGTTTGCGTTTCTTCTTGTTTTTGCTGATTTTTGGCTCAACATCGTCGGCGGAAACATCACCGTTGATCAAAACCACTTCATTCGAAGTTGTCGATGCACGATGAGATGAAACTGGTTTTGCCGAATCTTTTCCTATTTGAAAAACATTTAGAGAAGAAAAAGAACTGAGGAGTTAATCTTACCGGAAGAAGATTTCTTTGTGTCAGTCTAAAAAATGCTCATTTCCAAATGATTCGTGCGGTAGAAAATCGAACTTACACTTTCTCCTGCAAGATATTTCTTCATTACTTGTCCCAATCGATCAACAAGTTTTTTCTGTTCATTTGTCAACGATGTTGCCAATAATTGTTGTTTAATTCGATCGAATTCGCTCATTTCGCCACTGTCGATCGGCTTTTTCGGCTTTAAGTATTGGGTGATCTTCAATTGACCTTCATCTTTATCGGGAACTCGATCTTTCGTTGCGGCTTCGTAATCTTTCGACGCAAATTTGACATTTCGGAAAAACTCAAGTCGAATATAATCAGACGGTAACGTTTTTTCGACGAATTCAACTAGATTTTGATGATATTCAGCTTTTATCTTTGTTAACCGCTTGATGTATTCATCTTTCGTTCCTTGCGATAGATCCGCCCAGTTTTGCTGTGAACCCGTTTGTTGTCGTTCATTTCCGTATAGATATAATGCACTTATTGGTGGACGAGTTGGCAAGCCAAGTGTAGAAAAATAATAATGTATATCATCATTTTTGCTTAGTAGAAGATGAAGTGTTGGAATTTGATTTTCAGGCACAGCTGGATGTAATTGAAGGTATTCTTCCCATTGTTTGGTTGCTTTCAAGATGAACTTATGTCGTTTTTTCTCGCTTAGTTGGTTGAATAACGATCGGATATAAGTATTTTTTGCTGTTGTATTGGCAAATGTTGGTTTTTCATCATCGGAAACTTTATTTTCATAGTAGAGAATACTTGGTTGACATTTATGGAGATCATCCAGTTGAGTTCGAGTCAATTTTTGACTTGTTGTTTCATTGGTTGGTGGCTGGAAGTTTTCCGGTAGTGGTTGAACAGATTTTCGACGTTGTTTTATCGATTCCGAGGTGGTACTCTCACCACTTCCTTGTGCTGCTGTTTGCGTTGGATTGATCAACGATAAATACTCGCATTTCAAACGATCTGGTAAATTTTCTGTGAAGTTCTTCACCTGAGCAGTATACTCTTCTTTAGCCTAAATCGATCGATATGTACATTCGTTTGCGACTTATCTGAATAACTTACATCGTTTAACATCTGAGTATATGGCTTCTTCTCATCCGGTGTTAACAATTTCCATGCTTTTGCATTTTCATTATGTTCTTGTTTATTTATTTCAGCATAATAAGCTGCTGCATTACTAAAACAACAACAAATCGGAAGTTATTGCTGATTAAAAGCAAATTAGGCTTACTATAAAGGCTTCTTTGGTGCATTGAGAGATTCGAAATAGATTTTCTGCTCTCGTTTCGATAGCACGTTTTCAAGTAGTTGCCCTTCAATTTGAGCACGTTCGTCGATATCTTTTTCATCCTAGAAAGATTCATCATTCGGTATGATTACTCGATCAAATGAAACAACAAATTTACTAATAATTGAATGTATTTATCGATAGCTTTTTGAAAATACTTCAATTGTTTTTCCGGTGATGTTTGCAGAAATTCCGATCGTAAAGCAAACGGTGGAGTCTAAGAATAAACCAAAAGAACGATGATTAAGTTGATGATACAAAACGTTCACCTACTTCATTTCCTTTTTTTCTTTGTTTTTTAATGAACAAACGTAATGGTCGACATGATTGAATTCTAAGCACAGTAATCAATAGGAACAATGTTCACCATCAAGACAATCTCTTACTCTTTCAGCACCTCGCCTGAAACAAACCTATTCGAAGGTCCAGCGGACTTTTTCTTGGTCATTTGTCTAAAACGACAATCTGAAAAGGAACAGATCGTCTTTTCATGTATAGAGTTGTTTATTCCTTGCATTATCTTATATGTAATTATTAAAATAACGAAAGATATGTATAATTGAAATCTCATGAGCGATAAGAAGAAAACAAAAAGCATAAATTAATTTAAAAAAAGAACGAAGCTGCATTGAACCATCACCATTATCAAAATAGGAAAGAAGAGAAAACCATTTGTTCGAGGAAAAACAAAGAACGCATAGATTTACAAATAGCACATCCAAAGAAATAATTTTTTAGTAGATTTTATCTGCGATAGAAAATAACAATGAAGTGATAACATAAATATATATATGTATGGACGGCGAAAAGAAGAAGTTAAGATGATGTTAAAGGTGTAAGGCGAATGAGTTCCGCAGGTGATTGATGATGATGATGATGTTGATTATCAGGTATGACAGAATTCTTTGGAGAAGATGATTCACTGATCATATGCGTTTTTCGGTTTTTAAGAAATATTGATTTGGATATCTAAATAGATGATAGAAAAGTCATTCTTTCTGTCCCAAAACTCAATTATTTCAACTAATATAATGAGTGTTAGTCAAGTTAACATATAAAGTTAGTGATTACGAGACATAAAGCATGCATAAACTACAACATGTAAATAAAATAAAAAGCAAAGCCTTACAACAGATCATTCTCGTAGTTGAATGGTTTATTACTTTTATCAACTTTAACTCGCGGTTAAAATCGAGTTTGGATCACATTCTAGAGATGTTGACAAAAGCACACAAATAGATTAAACATGAAATGAAAATGTTCAACGTCGATGTTTAGCAAAATTCAAGCAGTCAGATCTATGTCATTGAAAACGAAAAGGTCAGACACACATCCGCAAAAAATTTCAATAATAACACGTGTATTGGTCATGATCATTCGTATCGAGCGTATTTACATTGGTCAACTGGAATACTAATCAAGTCAATAGTCATTGGTCGATTTTAGTTTTACGTATATACTTAGTAATGGTTCAAGTATTGTCACTGGTTTCGATAGATTATTTGAGATCATCTAAAGATTGGCGGATGCGTGCGATTTTCGAAGACATTGAAGGGAAAAACATCGACGATGAAAACAGGAGCGAAATCGGGATGGTTATCGAGTGAAATGGTAAGATGAGAAGAAGGAAAAGCAACAGTGCAATTTAATAAAACTCTCCTAATAAACACACACGTACACACATGTATAAGTAGCAGCAAGAGTACAACAGCAATCTTCACTCCAAAAAGTGTGTGTCTTGAGTTATTTTTCGAAGTCTCGTCAAATATTGTTCTCTCTTACTTCAATGATTAATTTTTCCTGCTTGTTGTTTTGCTGGTCGTACTGTCTGATCGTACGTTATTGTTCGGACTTGGGTGAACTCTATTCTTCAACTAGACAAGACAGATGTCGGATAGATCATTGTAGGAAAATAACAAGAAGAGAATACCGGAAGAAAAATATTTTCTTTTAGATAGGGAAACTTCGAAATGAAAGGGAAATTCGAGAGACTGATAATTCTCACTTACATTATTATTTTGGTTTTGAGATTGCGGTTGCTGTTGTTGACGATTACGTGTCGCAGATTTCGATTGCATACGGCCGGATGTGATCAACGGGCCCCAACCTTGTTGTTGTGAGAAAGCATAACCAGATCGAATTGATCGTTTACTTTGACGGAGTTTCTGTTGAATATGTGCAACGAACGCTGCTTTCTCTTCCGTACGGAACTTCTGATTCAATCGTGCACGATCGGTTTTCGTCGGCATGAATCGCATACGAAAGAATCTACAAACACGATTCAAATACACAATCGACTCAATTTCGAACAGTTTGAATGCACTTACTCTCGGCAAAACACGGGTAATAATAATATTGTACATGTTAAGAATAATGTAAACCAAAAATTGCCCGTGGACAGCACTGCTTGTGCTACCCCAACATATCCATAGTTTGTGTTAAAGATTTGATAGATAATGGTCGAATACAATACAAAATGAAACAAGAAATGTACAACAATAGTACCCCAAAGCACGAAATGATAAAGACCAGTCCAATACCATGTTTCAAGTGCGTTTTCTAAGTTGACGACGATGACCATTATTGTGGCAACCATAAAACCAAATGATTGTAGATCAGCTTGAGTCATGCCACCTGGTCGTGTACTGTTCGAAACGGATAAGTATGGCACGAAGAAAATGATACATGAAGTTAAGATTCCATGTATGACACTTTCAGCGAAGATTTTCTTATTGAAAAATTCATTGTTTTGACCAGGTGTGTATCTGAAATGGAACACGAATGAAAAATTACAACGTGCATTTGTAGAAAGAAGCGAAATCGCTTACAGAGGAGGTTTACTCATTGAATGATCAGCACTAACATCCTAGAGAGAGAGAGAGAGTTCAATGTCAAATCGAAGAAAATTCAGTGACTTCGACGTACCTGATCGAAAACACCTAGTGCTAGAACGGGCAATGACGAGAAGAAAACGTTATATGTTGCCACAAAGAATGGATCATATAATGTCTAGATAGACCATGTCAGTAAAAATTTCATTTGAGAATTACAACATACCTGAGCAGAAAAGCCCGAAAAGAATCCAAACCAAAAGTGGCACAATGTAAAGGCAAAATTTTTATAGAAAAAGTAGCGTAAAAACTTCGAAATTCGCAAGTATGACCAACGTCCATGCACAAGTAACAATCTTTCAAGATATCGAAATTGACCAAAACTATAATCACTTGCCAGAACAGCTTGTCGACCTTCTTGTCCACTGATACCCACACCNCAACCGAAGACAAGTCGCTCGTACAGTTTATTTCAACTAATTCCCGAGAATCGAACTTGTGAACAAGCTGATATCGAACAACATTGGTGTGCGTGTTTAAATTGGAACGATGTTTCAATCAATGAAACCATTATCCAACAATTTGGACAGCAAGCAGTGAATTTTCTCAACGATTTCGTATCCGATTACAAAGCAGAATGTGCCAAGTTGAGTTTATTCCAAATCAACAAAGCTAGCCAATTGAAACCCAACGATCAACTGTTGAAATTCGCCGGTTCAAGCGATAAAGATGGTCGTGTACCAACATTCCGTAATCAGACATTCAAATCATTGAACAAAACATTAGAACTAACCCAAATGAAATCGTATCAGATACAGTTCGAAACCGTTCCTGGACGTGGACAATTCGAGTTAACAGCCGAGTACAATCCCGTAAATAAAGCATTTCTCATTCGAAAACGACGTTTAAGTCGAATGAATAAATATGGACAAACATCGGCTTGTATCGCACATAAGAGACCCGAGTTTCGAGAGATTTGTTATTGTTCAAACTTGTTAAGCCGGACGCAGAAATCGAATGCATCTCTTGTTAATTCTGTTCGAAAGAATGTGAAAAATGCAATAAAAACAATGAAAACTGTTGGCAAAAACAACAGTTTCTCTGTCTAATCGTTTTTCTTTTCGAAAAATATCTCATTTGCACACTTGAACACCTCATGATTCATAGACTTGTACTCTAATATTTGGTCAATAGTGCAATCTGTTCAAATCGAGTACCAAGATTTTAAAATGTGTGTTGAAAAATGCTCTCTTGTATTTTTTACTAGTCAATGTCAAAGATGACGATTAAATATTTTATTTTGCAAACTATGAAAATAAAAGGCCTTCATTGTCGTCATAATCATCGGATTCGTCATTTGATGGTTCAATATTCTAAAAATTAAAAACAGAAGACCAATTTAGGACGAAAGATAGATATATACTATATAATGGAGAGCGTGTGCTACATTGAAATCTCTGAGCGATTGAACTACTTCGCTTGCAGTATTAATCTCACGTACTTTCAGAAAAATAAAGTATGAGTAAAGGCAGCAGATCGATTTTGTTGAGTCTTTTCTTGAATGAAAGAACACGCGAGAAACTTAGTATACCCGGACGTTACAATTTTCTATGCCAACAGATGATTATTCATCGTTGCGACTGTAGAAAATGTCAAGAGAGGTTTGTATAACATTTTGAAACTCATGTTTACATGCATAGAAATATGAATATGTCAAAATGTATCAAGTTTTACTTAGCAATATATGCGGTGGATTAGAAACGATGGATAACTCTTACCTGATTTATTTTTTGATCAAAAGATTTAAATGATGTTTGCTGCCTCTTGAGAACTTTTGCTTTTGCCAAGAGACCAGTTGCAATCTGGAATAATTCCCTTGCATTTTCATCTTTTATTTCACTTGCACACAGAAGAGCCCAGGTCGATCATTCCGGCGACTGGATCCGTTGAAATCTGAGTCGGTTCCGGTACAGCTCTTCTAGATTCCGGCACAGTTTTCGCCGATTCCAGCAAGTTCCGGCGGCAAGGAAATGGCCGGAAAACGAACCTAACCGGCCGGAACCGACCGTGCCATAATAACCTGGGATAGTATCTCATGTTTTCAATAAATCGCTGTAAAAAGATCCTTGATTGATGCCGCCATCGCCAGCATCAGTTTGAATGATCTTCAAAATATGCTCCTGTAATGTGCCTTGATTTGGACCACTGCTGATTCCGCCAAACACAAAGACAGCCCTACAAATGTGATTATTCACTTTCGTAAATCCTTTTTCTGACAAAACAATCATCATTATATGGATCATTTTAAAAGACTAATTATGTGTCATTTAACTTGACGAAAATTCGAATGTTGGAGAGAGAATGAGAGAATTTTTTTCTCGTGAAAATTCACTTGAAGTTCAGTGTGAAAATCCAGAAAAAGGTTCCCAGCAAGAGACACGTCAAATTTTCGTTCTCGTTTGTTTTATCTTTCTGCCCGATGCACACATATATGTATGAAATAGACGCATTAGTTTGATGAGAAGCGAATCAATTACGAGAGATGAATACCACGAATGAACTTACGTTATAGTTGATGTTGGTAATGCGAAAGACACATGTTCAGCAACATCTTGAAGCCATGCACGAACAGTATCCAAATCGATAACAGATGGTACTCTAGTTGGACTTCGATGTTCAACAAATGAATGTTGACTATGGTCAGTTATCACAAGAAGACTTATGCATGCATTGACACCACTTGTCGCTAAAAAGTCTAATCCCGAACCGAAATAATCCATTTCTATGTCATTTATTATTAGACCAGATGCCATATCCGATGTATTCTTGTTCACGTCTTTGTTCAACTTTTAATACACGTGGCAACGAAAGAGAAAAGAAGAATGAAACGTATGTATCCATACATATATATATAAACAAACAAGGCCTTTCGTGTGACAATCTTCTCGTATCCAAAATACAAAGTCGTGATTTCGACAGAGAATTTGTGGAAAAGCATTCCAATCAAAAACAAACATGATAAGTGTTATCTGACAAGTTAATGTATGAAATAGAATTATGACAATGACCGTTTCCGAATAGTTTTTCGACAAAATCGAATTAATAAAGAACTTTGGAAACCTTTGATCGGGTTTTACGCTTGAGAAAAACCAATAGGCATCGTCAGACAATGTGTATTCAATGAGCATCTACTCAATTATTTACAGAATCTGGATACTTACAAATTTCACATATGACGATCACACTTGATTACAGCTGTTTATTTTAATTGCAAAACAGTGTCCCACACACATAACTGAATTAAAGTAGAAAATTCAAATCTTTCAACAAGTGCACATTTTTTTGTGCTTGTCGATTTAGAAAATTTTGCATTGCATTCGAGCTTTTCTTTAGTCAGGCAATATGAAAAATGAGTAAATAGACGGGATGATACAGAAATGCAAGTTTTTTCGACATTTATTATTGCTTTCTGAGAACATCATTTAGCGGTGACAGAGAATTTTGAGAGGTGGTTTTGATCGCACTGTAAAAACAAACCCTATGTGATTGTAAATTCAAGAATACTCCCATTGTCCTCATTTTATTGCCATAACATACACGAATAAAATAAAAAGTAAATATATAAGGTGATAGGGAGCTGCATAGGTATTCCAAATGTTATGTATCTCAGAAAAGTATCTTTTTTGGTAACAAAATATCCATAGTGTAGACTGTCAATGTTTCCAATAATTTATACAAAGGAACAACGAATGATAAAGCGCTGTTTGCTGTATCCTTGTGCGTCAAAAGAATCACTTTTTTTCGATAGTTGATATGAAATAAGACAATCTTCCTCTATTTTTGAACCGACTCATATACATCACACACATCTAAGCATTTCGATGCTTTTATTTGATAGTGCTAGTTCTATTGATTTTTCTGGTAATGTTGGCTTGACACCATAGACAGAACCGACAGTGGTCAACTAGCTCGTCACCGCACAGGTTAACATCAATGGTAAAACATCTGATCACAATATTTTGTTATGTCTAAAAACCTATCATAATGGATTATTTTCTATTTTTAATCGATTGTAAGTGACTTTCTGGGAAAATCGTATTGAAATTGTTCGCTTGCAGTCAATCATTGATTAGAGAACAATATAATCCAGTCATTTGTTGTGCTGTTTTACATAAGAGTTTTTAAGTGTATGAAATTAATGAATAAAGTACAGAAGTGCCAAATTTAAGTATAAACGATTCTTTGGTTGGAGTTTCATCATCGTGTAAACAGTTGCTTTCGATTCAATACAAGGGATCAGATATTTTATTATTGCGTACACCATTTTCCTTTGTCATATTCTCCCGACAAATATACAGGATCTTTTGAACTTGAATGCATTACACGCCGTCTGCTACGACAAATAGGCGGAAAACATCGTCACAAAAGTCGCAGCATCATTCGTCAATTTTGACATTCTCTTTTCTTCGTTTCTTCCGCACAATGTTACCTCGTCCAACTTTTTTAGTCGACTCAGCATCATTCATTTGTATCTCTATTGCAACAAAATTGTGTCAATAGATCAAATTCAAAGTGGTAATCATGGGTAAAAGTACTTTGGAATCATTACCAAACGAGCTTTTATTGACGGCATTTTCTTACTTATCTTCATTTGATCTGTGCCAAGCTTTTCTTGACATCAACAATGCTCGTGTTCAATCTCTTCTTTCTTCGATTCATCATTCGTTCAATGTCGATCTCATGCATCATGATCAACTACATGATTGGTTGAACGGTGATCGCAACCTTCGGAATCGTTTTACAAGTTTGATAGAAACAGTTGTCTTCAATGATTCACCTGGTTGCCACATGTTAATGAAATATTGGGAAAAGGTTTTGAGTGACAAAGATCCATATAATGTGCTCTTTTCATCGATAAAACGTTTTGTTGTAACACAAGCAGAGCGATATTCGTACAGTCTTGTTGGATCTATATTAGTTCCCTTTACTTTTGCTGATAATACACTACAATATGTTCATTTTATCTTCAATGAACCAACATTTGGGTATTCACGTATGCTTTCCGAACTTATTGAACGTCGCGTTTCAATTCATACGATGATCTTAGAAGCTGAGCAAGGTATGTTATCAACGCAATTTTCGACATAAATCAGGTACAGCTACAGTTTAGCCACACCCTCACGTCAACTGTGTGTGCGATATCAGTGTGAAGCTAGCACGAAGGAGCTAGCACGAAGAAACTGTGTGTAAGCTAAAAACTTTTTTCCAGAGTTTGTCCGGTTCATAAAACCTAGTCCATTCGATTCAGAATTTAATTCTGCATCAAATGGTGGTATTTTTATTCACCGGACAAACTTTGGAAAAAAGTTTACCACATCTTTGTTTGCCTCATATAGGTCTATTTATGTTTCCGATAATTTTTTTCCAAAGTTTGTCCGGTGAATAAAAATACCACCATTCGATGCAGAATTAAATTCTGAATCGAATGGACTAGGTTTTATGAACCGGACAAACTCTGGAAAAAAGTTTTTAGCTTACACACAGTTTCTTCGTGCTAGCTCCTTCGTGCTAGCTTCACACCGATGTGTGCGATGTGTTACCCGAATGTGGCAGTGTGACTAAAGTGCAGAAATACCGAAAAAACGCTTAAAAGACTAATTAAGAAGTGGGAAAGTAGAACACTTATCATATCCCATTGAACATAAGTTGACACTTTCTGTTAATGTTCTTCTTAGGTCACAGAAATTTCTGGGGTGATTCGATAAAAAATCTACACAATATGAAGCAACTATCTTGGCCAAATACAATTCGATTGACATTAGCTATTCAATATTCCAGTGAATTAATCCTTTTATTTCAACGCAATGCTTTGCCTGCTATCGAATATCTAAATATTACTATCGAGAATACGCATACAACTTCGTTTTCAAGTGTAAATACACCCTTATCCAAGCGACAACTTTCACAAGCTTCTCTACGAGAAACAGCCACTCATCTGAGATTTCTCTTATTGCGGTATATATCTCTGAGTGAGTTTATCGCGTTAATTGGCTCGGTAAACATGCCTGCGCTTGAAGAACTGACACTGGTTGATATGTATGATGATAGTAAGTTGTTCCGTTGTTTTTTTTCCGTTCAGTTTCGTCCTCAGTACATATACACATCAGAACGATGTTTTTAAAGTTTCAATGGAAAGACTTGAATCTTGAAAGTCGATCTCAGACGAAAGTGATTTGTCTGGCATCCGATAGTCACTCTGTAGATATATTCTCTTTGCTTTATTGCTAATATGATCACATCAGGTCAGATGTGTGAGGTTTCGAAGAGGTACTAGTATGGAAACGTTCCTTTCAATTCTTTTCTTTATAGCTTTGGATCGCATTTCTCAATTCCAAGAACTTTGTTCGTCGCCGAAGTTTTTTGCTTTGAAAAATCTTCATTTCTCATTATACTTCCCTCAAGAGATCGAACATACCTGGAAAATGAGTTCATTCAATTACAATCATCAATGGCCATTTCATAATATTAGTTCTTACACTGACGAGTATTATATACTGGATATCGATAAACGCTATTTTATCCCGAAGGTGGTATTTGTCATTCACAACTGTTCGATAGATCTTCTCCTTCATCACAAACGATATTTTCATAATTCTTCTTTCGCAACACATGCATCTGCTCCCGTTCGAACAGTCCGACCACGTTTGGTACAGTGGGTGTGTGACCAAGAATATGATGCTGGAAAATTCAGAAAAGCCCTACAAATAATTACAAGTGGCCACGTTCGTGAACTTCGTCTAACATATTTAAACAAAGGAGTAAGTCGAATGCAACTTTCCGTTTGAGTCTCGAGGTTGAATCGTCATACTCGTAGTTGCAGAAGGATTGAGTTGACTTGTTCGAATAGAAAACGATCAAACAAAATTAGTCTCATTAGAATTTTGTTGATTGTCAAATGACGATATTTTGTTTCATTTCGTAATCGTAGAAAGACGTTGATGGGAACCAAATACTTCACATATCAGATATAATGAACAAAGTTTCTGATGCAGAATAATTGAGATTATCAGTGCAAGTATAACGTCACCTACGCAACAATCCATCTCCTTTGTTCTTTTTTGTAGCGATGTCGACTTCGTTTACCATGAAATCTGTACTCTGTAAATAATGTATTTGTACTTTTTAGACAAATACATCAATGATACCAAGCTGTGATGTACATTGGAATCTACTCCTCAGTCATATACGATCAGTTATATTCAAAATCGATACAAATTCAATTCCACAATACCAACGAACATTCATGGTCGAACAGATTCTGGATGCATCACCGAATCTGTCATCTCTGCAAGTGGCATGGACAGATTTTTGTCATTGTTCACGAAAATATCCCAATCTGAAACACGTGCACATCTTGTTAAGTGGAGTGCCCATAAAGCGTGAACCTTATTTTGATACTGACCGGTTGAATGAGTTAGTACCTCATCTGTCTGTACTCGAAACGGGTGACGCACTTCTGATGTTGAATGGACATTTGATTGAGTTTATTTTGAGCATTGGCCATCGATTTGATCAGTTGGTGTATTTGACAGTGAACAAAAATAGTAAAGGTCAAACGGGATACGCAAGAAAACTGGTGTTCTGGAAAAAACTAATTGCGGTTACTCAGGAACAACTACTTCATGGTCACAAGGTGCATTGTGGGTACCGTGGTATGGATGAATTTCGTATTTGGTTCTAGTGCTCAAAAAGGACTTCATTTGCAATCTAGAAATGTAGATTCGTTGCTTAGTTTATGTGTATAAAGAATCTCCTTTGTGCTTTCTAAATAAAGTGTTACAATACATGTTTATTCACTGAGTTTATGTTGTTGTTTGCGGAGAAATGTCATTGTGTTAGCTTCATAAAAGTGTTTGCAGATGACAGAATTGACAAAATCTCCTACTCATGACGAAAGGAGTCCATTTTATGTCTTAGTCGATGAGAATGCAGCTAATAATTCAACTGACATAACTCAAACAACGATCACTTTATCTTCATCATCGTCAGCATCATCCGTTCTCAGCTTTGATGATCAAACAACGAAAATGATGATGGATATTCTATGCATTCACTTGACGATATTGAACAACACTGGCGTATGTGTGAATTGAAACGATATTTTAATCAATGAAACCATTATCCAACGATTTCTCGTCCGATGCCACACAGAATATGTCAAGTTGAGTTTATTCCAAATCAACAAAGCTCGGCAATTGAAATTCGTGAGAGTTATTATTATTCAAACTTGTTAATTCTGTTCGAAACGATGTAACAAATGCAAGTAAAACGGCAGTTTCTCTGTCTAGCCGTGGCTTTTTCCAAAAACTTCCCATTCACAAGCTAAAACAACTCGTGATTCATGATTTCTTACGCTGCAATCTGTAAACACGATATGACACTTAGAATATGTTTAATGAGTCAAGCTCAAAGGTATAAATGTGTTGTATCTTGAAAGATACGCGATACAGATTACAGGTGTCCTTTCATCAAGATCTAACTCAACAAAATTCTTCGATTTTATCACTAAAATGCATCTTGTATATCGTGCGATTATTCTGACCACGTTTTTGGCACTTTATATCGAATGTCAAGGTGGTGGTGGTGCCGCGGGTGGAGGTAATGGCATTAGATCATTCTGAATATCCGATTAAGCTTTCCATATTCTTTTTAGGCGGCTCGTCTGGCGGCAGTTTCATCTATAACGGAGGGTCAGACAGTTCGTGTACAGGCTCCGATTGTTCCTTGATTACAACTGTCGTGTTTAGTATAGTTGGCGGCATTTTTGCATTATTTGTCTTGATATTCGGTATTAGCTACTGTGTGAAAAGATACAGAGGCCTGCCACGACAAACAAATGCGCTGTTTGTTGAAAACCAAATGTCGAAAACGAACTGTGAGCATCAGAAATGCGACCTGAGCATATTTAAATGCGGCTTTTGGAAAAGCCACTACTTTCAATATGGAAAATGGCATGGTCCTTGTCGATTTTCTCTCAAATTTATAGACAACTCGAAAACAATCACTGGAGAAGGATCTGATGACGTCGGAAAATTCACCATCCGAGGAGTTTATTCGGATCAAACAGGTCGACTCGGTTTAACAAAAACGTATAAAAAAGGGACTGGTAACTCCTCGGAAAATTTAGGTCATCAGGTGACCATTCAACTGACCTGGAACCAGTTAAACAACCGATTCGAAGGCACATGGTACGTCCAAACAAGTAAATATCATGGTGAAGACAAATTTCAACTGACATTTGATGCACCTCATCTGTCTACTGTTTATGGCAAAGTTTGAAATGTGCTTTTAATGACTGTATAGGTTGGTGCGATGTTTTATATAAAAGTCGAGGTCTTGTGATTGTACGAAGTATCTCTTTATCAGTGAAAGATTTATGTCTATTCGAAGACTTTTACGTCAAAATAATCAATTTGATTGAGTTATCTGAGTAGTTGTGCGTCACACAGCAGATGACGAATAAAACAAGCAGTTTCATGAGAAATTTCATTTTCGACGCTCATTAAACGAAACCAACGCATCACTTAAACGCTCCCACATAACAAAATCACGTTTGTAGTAAACAAACAGGGCAAATTAATTATGCGTAGGTAATTGCCCATCACTATGAATCAATAAGGTGAGTAAGGATATCCAATGAGTTTCTGTTGCTGTTGACTGAGAAATATTCTTGTTGAAGTAGAAAGAAAGAGGCCATGACTTTCTTTTCTTCGTTCATCGGAACTGGCAGTCATTGTGTTAACTCCATAAACGTCGCAGAAGAAAAACAAAGTCGTCAAGGAAAATTGTCTTTTCTTTTTCTCGGAGTTCTGTTGCTGAACGTCGTTAGAATGTGACCGCTAGCAGCTTCGACGGTACGATCATATACGCAGAAAATTCGCTTGTTCTTTCTAAGAGAGGAGAGAAAAGCAAGAACACATACGCTAACTCTTTTTTTTTATTTCTTCACATCCATTTAATACCAGCTGAAGAGAGTGAAAGAAAAGGAAAAAAACTATCTTTTCTATTTAAACATCACATTGTATCTAAGCATAGCGTTTGTTACACTTTGCACTTGATCACATGACAACTCTTTCGTCGTAAGTTGAACATATTTGAGAAACCAGTCGATCTATTCGTGTATTTTCCAGGTTTTCATCGATGACGACGATGTTACAAACGTCACATCTCATTTGGCAAACTGTTAATTTAACCGATGAGTTGAAAATCAATCTTCAGTACGACATCAATCGAAATTCATTGAACATATCGGTGAAGAACATAGGTGATAACAAAGACCTGTCTTGCTGTCTCAATGTTCTCCCAACCCCTCAAGATAAAATCAAATCAACAAATTGTCAAATATCTTCTGATCTTCTCGAACAAGGTTTGCGTTTGTTCAATAATGATTTTCATTAGCATGAATGGTTTCCTTTAGATGATGAGAATGAAGCTAAGATTTGTTATGAATTATCAACGACGTATGTTTATGATATAATCGATGAGAATGAAGCTAATGATCAAACTGACTTGCCTCAAACAAAGATCACTTTCTCCTCGTCGTCGTCATCATCCTTTTCCTGCTTTGATGATCAAACAACGGATAATGATGATGGATATTCGACACATTCACTTGACGATATCGAACAACTATCAGTAATGATACCTTCACCCAAATCAATCATACCAGTCCTTCCGTCTTCATACCTTTATCACTACTACTACTACTCTGAACAGTATGTTTCACCTATTCGTCGACTAATAGGACAATTGACATGGCAAAATCGATTCAAAAAGACGATCCATGACATGATGAAAATGAATCATCTTTTCTAATTGACTCATGAAAATGATGATCAATCGTATCATCGAAATGTCCGAAGACATGTGTCTCTGTATGTGTGATGTATGTCTGAGTGTATTTTGCATGTGCATGTGACTTTCGTCAATATTATTTTTCTTTGTTGGGCTTTGAGTAACATTACGGAGGTTGTCATTATTAAAAAAATATGAGTCATCAACATAAGTATATACTCAAATTATTGCAAGCTGAAGGTGAAGAAAAAGAAATTTTAATCGTGACTGAAAGCTGCCACCGATATTGAAATGGAAAAAAAATACATCGCTATAATCTTTCTTTCTTTATTTCAATGTTTTTCTTTCTCTTTTGTAGATTTTATTGACCAACTTGCATGTACTTATATTATACATACACCACTAACTAAACGAACACGTACACTTCGTTTTTCTTCTCTAATGAATAAATTAGACTATACATATGTTAATGAACAAGCCATATCAACATCATTAATATGTCCGATATGTTTGGATGTATTACAAGAACCACATACGCATATTACATGTGATAGTGCATTTTGTCGGTCATGTCTCTTGAAGCTGGCAGATCCAATCTGCCCGATTTGTCGATGGCATTGGAATGAGTTAGTTCATATTGATTATAACATGTACTTACCGAAAGCAAACCGATTGATTCGGAATATGCTTGATGAATTACAAGTTGAATGTACTCATTGTAAAACAATCCGTCGGCGTGGTCAGTTCGAACACGATTGTCAACCGATGACTATTTCTCTACCCGAGAAAGTCAATGATTGGGAAAACGTGCAAATGTTATTCTCTATGTTGATGATTTTTATTTGCATCTCATTGCTTTACTCGTATCGGCATGTTGTTTTCGAAAGAACTCTCGATCAGCATCATCGAACATTAGTTTACGGCAATGGCATTGACATTGACAGTTATCTGTTCGAGAAAATTTACTATTTGATAGTTAAAGTCATTGAATATTCCGTTGCTGTCTTTCTATTTAATTTATTCCTCTGGTTTAGTATCTTATTTTACGGTGATCGTCTAACATCGAGAACGACGAATCAATTTCTGCGTCAAGTTCTCGAAGTTTCCATTATTGTTAATTTAATTACATATTCAATTTACTATTAGAATCTTTCTACAAGAGAATATTCTAAAAGATATTTTTTTATTTTGAAATCCATAGGAAATAAACTTAATTAATCAAGGCGCATTGCTTTAATAAATTCATCTTGTCGTTGTTTTGCTAAGCGAACAAGGTTTTCACGATCGCGAGTATAATCGCTGAGAACGTCGTTGAGATCATTATTGATGAACGAACATTTTGTCGATTGATCAGCACGGATGAAATCCATTATGTTATTTGACGGTGCGATCGATTTAGAAGTAAGGATTGATTTATAATCAAAGCTATTTATACAAGGAATACTCGCTGCAGAACCATAGCGAACATAAGGAGAGGATTGAGGTTTAACCTCATTGAAGGATTCGATTGGTTGCTCGATACCTGAAGTCGTAGAATGCCTATCTGTTGACTTGTTTTCATTCGTAACGATCTCGAAACCGTCATCTACGTGGAGAAGAAGTAAATGTTGATCAATAAAATAACAAAACTTGTTTTGCTTGCTTACCACTAATGATTTCGAACGTTTGCGGTATATTTATTCTCGATGGATTAGGAAGAATTTCGAAATCATCGACATCCCAATCGGCTCGGCGAGCCATTTTTGAAATAGAACGTAGTTCTCGCTTTTTACAGTTGAATGAAACAAAATGAAAAGTTCGAAGAAGTTTTTATACTGTCTCAGTAATGACGCAATAGATGAGAGAAATATAGAACGACGCAATTTAGTAAAAATGTGATTACTCTAGCTGTGTTTTTGTTTTCTGTCGCTTGGTTGTTAAAACAAAAATAAGGTGAAAAAGAATGGTAGCAGCGAGTAGTTTCGATCTACCGACCTCTGAGTTATGAGCCCAGCACGCTTCCACTGCGCCACGCTGCTGTGCTATTTTCTAATCAAATTAACTGGATGATTTCGAACGAACATTAGCTACTAGTTATTTATTACATCGTGCAAAGCGAAAATATTCAATGTTTCAAAATGTATCTGTACAATCGGGATGGCAAGTCTTCACACAATCTTCAGGATATTTCTCGTTGAATATTCGACAGAATCCGTAAGCTTTTTGCATGGAACAATCATCTCGTCGATCGACGCATTTTTCTCGATCGCGATGTTCCTTAGCAGTAGTTGTGCTCGATGTTATGTTTATCTCGTCGCTCAGTTCTGCTTGATTGAACAATGTTGAAATATCTTGTAAGCGCTGAATAGGTATGCATTGACCACATGAACGTTGACACGCTTGAGGAACGGACAGAAAGTTGTTATCAACAAGAATTGTATAACGATTATCACAATATTCACTACGTAGTTGATAGATTGAACAGTACGAACTTTTGTCGTAACAGGATATACCTGTTACAAAAAGCAAGAGAGTCGTTTTCAACTAGGAATAGATAGAAAGGAAAGCTTACATTGGTACTGACTTCCGATTTGTTCACATCGTTCGTTCGGTAAACATGGATTTCTTGCACAAGCATCCGCATACTAAAAAACTCATTGTGACTAATAATCGAATAAATATTAAGTAGACCTATTACTTGACAGCGATCGCCAACTTTGCCTTTTGGACATGCACAAACGATATTATTCTGTGTAGCTGTACAAACGCCGCCGTTACATGATGTTGGAGAACAGAGTATAGCTAGAAGGAAAATCTTTGACTTTGTACAATGTTACCGATGTTTGACTACCTTCACAATGACTTCCTGTATATCCTTGAGGACAAAAACATTGTGTCGTCACTGTTCCATTTAGATTGTACCGACTAAAACATGTGCCGCCATTTAAACAGAGATTTCGGTTTGCACATGGATTCTCTAAAAGTGAATCTATATATACTGAACATTTCTCTCAACTATTCGTTTACCATATTGACATACTGGCCCTATATATTTCGATGTACATAAGCACACTCCATTACCACATGTACCATTATTCATACAACTTAACGCGCAATCAGTGCTTGCCGATATATTCAATGAAATATCGCAGTATTGACCAGTATATAAACTCGGGCAAGTACACGCGAAAGAGATGTTTGTTGCATTCGAAACAACGGAACAAATACCATCATTTTGACAAATTGGTTGGAAGCATGGATTATCTGTACATTACATTACAAATCAATAGGAAATCACAAGAAGGAAATGTGCTTTTACCGTATTCACAAAATGTTCCCGTATACTGTGCCGGACAAATACATATTTCTTGACTGCATGGACTTCTATAAGAATTCAATCATCACATTCTTCTCAGAATTGCATAAAGGAAAAGATTTTACCCATTCATACATAATCCTCCACATGGATTTAACAGAGATGTTTCACATCGACTTCCAGTATACGTTCCTACACAGCGGCAATTAAACCAAGTATTTGTTTGATTCCAATAAGGTTGACACATGGCTTGATTCAAACACGGTGATGATAAACACGGATTATTCCGTTCGCAAAATTCACCAATAAAATGATCTCGACAGATGCATGTATAGGTTTTATTTGTTGTTGACAGAGCACAATGACCACGTGTTTGACAGGGATTACTTGAACATGGATTATTATGTATGATTGTTTCGCAATATGTTCCAGTAAATCCTTCTCTACAACGACAGGAACTAACAGGTGGATCTGTATTTGAATACACACATGCACCATTATTTCGACAATCGATTGTTGATGTTTTACATGGATTATCTAGAAAATAAACAGAGATTGGATTATTTTGTAGCATGACAATCATAGCAAGGGAGGTTACCGTATTGACAAAATGTGCCCACTTTATTTTCGGGACAAGTACAAATAGGACCTGTTGGTTGTTCACTGCAAATTTGATATTTTGGACAGAGCATATTTGAACAAGAACTGATTCCTAAACGACACAAGGGGGAAAGATACTTTTTTCCCGTAGTTTCTTTCGCTTTGATCGCACCTGTATCACAATTCTGTCCATACATTCCCGGAGGACATATGCATCGATATGCTGACCAATTGGTTCCTGTATCAGCAATTAATGTCGTGCAGCCACCACCGTTTTTACACGGTAATTTAGTGCAAGAGTCGCCTAAAGATTTCAATTGTTTCGAAATATGTACTATAGGAAAATGAGATTTAATTACGTAAAGCACAGGTTGGACCAGTAAAACCCGTTTGACATAGACATTCGGCCATTGTAGGTGCAATTTGCCGGCATGTACCATTGTTTTGACAGGTATTTGTCGAGCAAACCGAAGCTAGGAAATAAATTCATCTTTTCTCAGCTCAAACAGAAACAACTGCACTCAACTCACTCCATTCACAACGTGGCCCAGCAAATCCTGCTGGACATATGCAACGAATATTGGTACTGTTATCATCATCACATGTACCTCCATTTAAGCAGACATGCGTGTTGCACGACACACCTATATCTACGGAAAGATAAAGGATCGTTTACTTCTTCCAGTCATTTCACTTTTCTTACGTATTGAACAGTCATAATGTCCAAACCCTGGTGGACATAAACACATAAAATTGTTCTGCGGGCCGAGTGGGATGCATGTCCCATGGTTTACGCAAGGTTGGTTTTGACAATTGTTCGTATATTGACAACGGTCACCAGTTAAATACGGCGGACAAACGCATCGATAATTGACAGGCTTTGTATCTTCTATTGGTTGACATGTAGATAAATACCGACAGGGTGAACCCGAACATGAGGTTAGTGTATCTAGACAAGAATGAAAATCGATTGATATGATATGGAAAAAAGATTTACTTGTTTCACACGATTGTCCAGTTGAACCATTTGAACATATACAATAATATGAAGAATTCGATGTTTGAATACATGTACCATCATAGCCACAGGGTTTTCGTGAACAAGAATTCTTCATATATATGAAGTTCTCGCAGTATTGACCAGTAAAGCCTTTAGAACATATACAATGTCTGGAATTGTTATTGGATAAAACTTCACTGAAACAAATACCATTGTTAGAACAAGTTGTATTTGTACATAACGTCCGTTTTGTTTCACATCTAAGAACATCAGATTGAGAAATAACATCAATATAGAACTCTTTTAACCGTCTAGAATTTACCGGTCACCCGCTGTATTCGATGGACATTGACAATAGGAAATGTTTGTTTCGTTGTTTATCAAACAGGTACCACCATTCTCACAAGATATCATTTTACAAGACGTATCTCGAGATTCACAATGTTCTCCGACATAACCTTTAACACAATCACATCGATATGTTTCCTTGCCAACGGTTAAATTTCGAATACATGTTCCATTATTCAAACATGGATTCTGTATGCATACATCAGGTATTATCTCACAATTTGTACCATTATACGGTGGTTCACATTCACATAAGTAACCATTCGACAATACTGAACAACTACCATTGTTCTGGCAAGGTATACTTAAGCATGGATCTGTGATTGTTTCACAATGTAGGCCGGTCGTACCATTTAGACATGAACATGAGTAAGAACAAGTTTGTTCCGTACAGTTGGATGACGGTACGCATGTTCCTTGATTGCAGGGATTGGATAAACATGTATTGACTAGAGAAGAAGAACATTTGAATCGATTTTTCTCTTTCGTTTCCATTCTTACGTTTGTCACACTGTAAACCAATATAACTGTTGTTGCATTGACATTGAAAACCATTCGTTGCTATCGGTATGCAAAGTCCATTGACGCAAGGATTTGATTGACACGCATCAATGTTGCTCGTCTCGCAGCGATCTCCAGTAAAGCCGTCTATACATGTACAGTTCGGTGTGTCACATAATGAATCTGTGCAATCAACTGTACAACGGTTACTATTTTGACAATAACCGTTACATGGATTAGCTAAAAGTGACATTTTTCTCTCTGTCGGATCAATTTAAAATTAACAGACTTAGTTGACAGTATTTTCCTCGATAGTTTTCCGGACATGAACAGGTCGCATTAGATGAACAAACGCCGCCATTCAGACATTGACAGACGTTGAAAATATTGATGTTGGGAGAAAATAATGACGTTTGACAAAGAACGCCTGTATAACCAGCTTTACATTGACAGATAAAATGTGTTGACGATATTTGCAAGCAAATGCCATGCGATGAACAAGGGTCCGTTTGATTTTCACATGAACCTAGATGAACAAATGGGAATGTTTCTATTTGACAAGAACAATCAAACCGTTAATAAGTGCGGAAACTGACGAAGCCATCATTGTTGAAGAATGTTTTGTTGAACTCGATCGACACGACGGTGACGATGGTTGAAAACAAATGCACTGTCCAATGTTCGATGAAATATCTTGTAAACATGAGCATGCTGTTGTAGAACAATTGAGTGTCAGACAGCCAACTATTATCAAAAGAAAACTTGCTTTATGTCGAGAGAAAAAGTTAAACGTTCATTTACTTGATATGCAATTCATCAGATTAATACTAACATTGTGTGACTTTTGGAAAAAGTGAGAACTTAGATCGAACTCATTTGTGTCATTATTGACTATGTAAGAACCCATTGAAAACGTAAGATATATATCTGACGTAAAACTGATGTCATCAATATCTCCTGTTGATACGGACCGTTCGAAGTTAACATCAATATTCTGGTCGCTAAGATTGGTTTGAATCATACACAGATCTTGTTGAAGATCAATTAATGGTACAGCCTGTCCGCGAAAATATCTGATAGAAAGAAAAACAATTGAAAAAATTGATTCCTATTAAACTCATCTTACCCATCTCGAATGATTTGCATGTCGGGAAAGATCAATATTACATCTGCATTCCTTGTTGATATGATCTCCGACCAGCTCAAAGCAATATAAGTAGATGTAAGATTTACATTCGAATTAACTTGACCTAATGATTAGTTAGCAAGTACTTCGATACTATCATCAACGATTTGAAATGAGCATACCTCGAATTGTAAACTGTAGAATGTTCAATGTCGTATTATATCTCCATGAAACAGTAAACGAGCCAATAGCTGTGTCTTGTATAGTCCAGACTCCCCCTAGACATTCACTTTGTACTTCTAATGTAATAGAAAAGAATTTAAACCACTTTCATTGTGTGTCTAAATAGACCTACGTTCGGAAATCTGTGTGATGAACAACAGTAATATCACCGTGTTGATCCACATCTGAAAGCAAAGTGAAGGTAGAGACAACAGAATTGATCATGAACATTTGATTAGAGCGTTCGATGCGAATGAGCGACGATTGAAATTGGTGTATTTTGTTCGTTCTCTTTACTCGCTATCACCGCGCATTGATATTCATTGTGATTGAAGACAAAAGAGGAGAAAGGAGAAGAACGAACGAACGAACGAACAAACGAAATCGAAGTTCATCGAACTTCCATACACACTATTAGATCGTTTTAATATTATCCTCGCTCTCACTCATATACACATCGATCCATCTTTTTTGATTTCATATGACAGGTGTGAAAAACTAATAATTCATTTTGATCATCTCATTCAAATCAAATTGGATTCGATCGTAGACGTTGTTTTGTCAGGTATATATGCACATCAAAGCGCATGTCTTACTAAAGATCATGATTTTTAATCTACAGTGACGACTAAATGTAAAATGAGTAGTGAAGGATCATCATATGTAATTGAAAGTTTTAGTTTTGTTTGAAATAATCCGGTCATTTCCATATTGCCTATGTTTTCTCATTCATACATTTTTTTTCTGTAATAATATCACAAAAGAATTTTGATGAACACGCATTTTTTCGCTCCTTTTGCTCGTAGATCTAATAGAAATAATCGATACCCGTGATTGACTATTCCTTTTTCTTCTGTTGTTATTGTTTATAAAGAATAGAATGTGTATTGCACAATAGACAAAGGACAATTATCGCTGCATATATCATGATGTAATTGATCTTCTACTGTTTGTTCATGACAATAAAACAACAAAGTGTACGAACGATTTGTTGACCTTGAAAATTGATTTTCACATTGATCTCGACGAGAAACGACTGATTGAATATGTTTACCATCGGTTATTATTAAACAATGCTGACATGGACAATTAATTAATTGCATATACACAGTGTTGTTCAATGTTTACACGAATAGGACAGTTAAAAGAAAGAATACAAATGTTTTACTTGAAACGATTATGAAATATATGTACGTAAGGGTCAGTTTATGTTATAGATATGTGTTTGTATACATATCGATCGTTGAGCTAGGAATGCTTGCCACTATATCTCTATCTTTCGCTGCCTACGGCAAAAGAAAATAAAAACAATATTGCTCAATTATACTGCTTGCAAGCAACTCGTTACTGCGATGATAACGTCAACTGAGAGGAAAGGTTTGTGCTTGATCATAGACCGATTATCAACAAATTACATCGAAGAGTCAGGAAAGAGCAACATAACAGGACGAACTGTCCGTCAGGAGTACAAAATGATGACGCGTGTTACATATTAGTAGCATAAGAGCAAGAGAGAAGAGAAATAGAACGATATTCTCGATGATATGGAGAACTAATCATTCGATATAGTTAATAACTTCGAGTTCATTCAAAGATCAATCGAATAGGAAAGGAAACAACAATATCATGTCTGTTTATTATTTCTGTTTATTATCAATATCATTGTGTTTGTTATTAATATATGTATGTCATATAAAATCTTCTTTTATATTTTATTTCATGTCTATCTTTGTGTTTGTTAAGCCCATCAATAGTGCTAGTCTTCGTTCGTACTTACGAGGCGCATCGAAATGGTTTCCCGATCGACGGAATTCTTTATCGATAGTCGATAATGATTTGACTACCGCAGAGTCGGTTTTATCACGCCGACGACCTATTTTACCATCAAATGAACGACGAAAACGATGGTCCAACGATGAAATTCTGATTGATGAAACAATTATAGAACAAACAACTGGTAGTGCATTGACATCGGAAAAAGAAGAAACAACAAATTCAGCTACGACTGATCCTTCTGAGGAAATTAGTTTATATAACTCAACAAGCGCCCAAATAACATCCGAGGGAACGATATACCCACTATTGCGGCAAGATATAGTTGATAACAATCAGACAGAAGAGTCGTCGACTATCGTAGCGAATGATGATGCCAATAACTCGACAGTTTTGACGACAGTATCAAATGAAATCACCACTTTAGGTACCACTGAATCATCAACCATCAGTAAAATCGATCAAACACAGTCGAATGAAACAAGTGAAGCCACTACTGATGCATCCAATAGTGCAACTACTCAAGAACTGACCAGCAAGTCATTAGAGTCAGAAACAACAACCGTCGTATCGATAAATCAGATCACACAAGAAGCAGAATCTGTTCCTCTAGTCGTACTACCAACAAATCTAACAACTCCGTTACCTACATCGGAATTAGACACAGCTATTATACTGTTGGATTTTACTACCAAATTTCCTCCGATAGCTACAACATATTATGAGAATGAAACATTGAATGAAACAGAGATAACTACTGCTTCATATTACACGATGACTATCTCACAAGACAATTTAACCGAGACTATGATCCTTCTGAATACAACTCAGAATGTCACTACGGCTAACGAATATGAAATCGAGACCACAACTACCGTATTTTCGGATGTCACATCGACTAGTATTATCGAGGAAGATGAATATTCAAATAACACCAATGAGTTTTTGCCAGTGACAGAAGCAAAACCCATATGTGATCTCACTTGTCAATGTACGAAAGAATGTCCTTATGGTTTTCAATTTATCAACGACACATGTAAATGTGATCCACCTTGTAAAGTAAGACAATAAGCACGCTAAATATTCGTGTTTAGATTAATTACCGCTTCTAAATAGAATTATCAATGTTTTGGCAATGATACATGTATCGTCACAGGTGAAGGACGACCTTACTGCCAAGTGGACAATGGTACCGAGCATGGTAAGACTTTGCTAAATGTTCAGAAGAAAATTCCGATAGACGAATGATTAAATTTTCGTTTTCAGATCGTCCAGAACGTTGCTATCAGCCTCGCGATTCAGGTTATCACGATGTTCATATTCGCTATCATAATCGTTGGTATTATCATCCTGATCAAGATACATGCCATTTATTTGTCTATCGTGGTTTGGGCGGAAATGAAAACAATTTTCAAACCTTACACGAATGCAATTTGGAATGTATCAGTATGTTTTCTTTTCTTTTGTTTAACAAGTTATCGCAACGCATTTCCTTCTTAGCTTGTGCTCCAGCGCCTGATCGGGGCGAATGTTTAGGCCGTTTGCCTATGTGGTACTACGATCACAAAAAGAAGCAGTGTTCACAATTTGATTATTCAGGTTGTAAAGGCAACGATAATAAATTTCTTCGGAAACGAGAATGTATTGATACATGTCTTACTCGAATACTGGGTCTTTGAAATCGGAAGCAAAAACTTTGTCTTGTGTTCATTTTGATTAGTTTTGTTTTCTGTTTGTGCATGACTTTCTTGTTTGTTAAACAAACGATGATTTTTTATCTAAGATTCAAATTTTTATTTCCTGAGAATAATCATAAGCCTGTTCATAAAATAAATAGGATATATTACTAGTGAATATCAGACATAGAGAGTGAAAAGAAATTCAGAGACAAAAATTGAAATCACATTTTGTACACACGATGAGTAACGACGGCATCATGCCATCTTCATTATGCCATAATGTCGAGTGAAGTTTTGTTTCGTTACAATGTGTCATGGTTTTTCGATGATAGGCGTGAATTCCATCTAACGTGTCAACTTTGACTTGATATTGAAACGAACATTGCCGACAAGTGATTGGATGCTGAGAAGAACATTGAAAGAGTGAATCGTGCGAACAGATCGGACATTGAGTTTGATTGAATTCATCGATCGAAGGGATATATTCTGGTTGTTCATCTGGTATACCTTGCAATTGCTCCAATTCAAGCTCTTGAAGAACTTCATTCATCAGAGCCCAATTGGCTTCGAATTCCACTTCTTCAGCTGATGCTGGTAACTGATTTCCATCCATATCCATCGAAGTGGTAGGTGGCAATGCGCCGAACATTTTAATCCATTCCGATTCGACGATGTCACGAGCTGATAGGGTTGGTTGATTGTCATCGAACTAAGAAGAATGAACAACGTAAGATATGGAGAGAGAGAGATTTTTGTCTTACAGAAAGTTGCCGCATTTTATTGACCACCTTATCACGTGCTCGTTTGAATTGTTGTTTGCAGTGAAGTCGATAACGATCTTTCCATGTTTCATCTGAACGAACAGTTGGCGAAGGCATCTTGTACAATGCGGAATGGACTGTTTGCCGAGCTGGAGAAGCAGGATATGTCGACATTCTCGAAGCAAGAAGAACTAAATAATCTAAAACGAGATTACGAGATATTTTGAGAATTTGATATTAAATTGCGACAAGCATAGGTGAGATTATTCGGTTCAAATACACAACAAAGTCACGACAAGCACAAAAAGAGTAATGACTAGATAAATATGACAAATATTGATTAGATAAATTGCATTTCAGTATCAATTCTGAATTTTCTTCGGCTGAGGTAAAGTTGTCTTGTATTCCAAGAGCATATCGGTGTCCATTGCAATACCAGCGCATGCTGAAAGAATATTCGTTATGCACCGATGTTGCTTGAACAGTGCATTGATCACCGGTGTACCCGGTGGAACTAAAGGTGCCTTTAAAAGATATGATAAAATCGACAGGACAGGTTCGAATGGTTGATATTCATCTTGGTTATTCGTTTTATATGTAATACGCGTCATTAATTCAGTTAAAATAACTAGATCAATGATTAATGGTGATGCTAACAGCGAATCTTCACACGTATTATGAATTGCAATTGTACTGAGGCCATTCATGAATATCGACGAGATATATTCATCCATTGCACGTTTCGAGTCTAAATCGATCAGATTTGCACTAATTTCGAATAAGTGATTTGTTTACCTTTGACAAACGGAACATATTTGATAACAACAACATGGTCCGGATGCTCATTGATTTTCTTGTTGTAGAGTAAATGATTTGCGCCAACCATATCATCCACCACATTGGACTTACTGATTTCTTTTGAACGAAATTGTTGCGGTGCACTTAGATTTTTGCCATCATTATTTCCTAAATGATTATAGGAAACGATGGATTGAAGTTTCAAGCCAGCCGAGACGAGAAAATCAGCAAGAACAGATTTCATTTTTGTCTGTCCGCTTTTGAAATCATCGCCCCCAATGAACACATTATGTTTCTTAGCCAAGTCCATGATACCTGGTACTAAAGTATTCTGTGGACTACCATTTATATACGGACAACCTTCTAAAATGGCAGCACAAGCGAAGATATTCGATGGACTTATTTCATCTTCATTAGCAGCGATTGACTGAAGAATTTCTTCACTTGTTTGATTCAAGCCAGCACGAACTGAAACACAATGATGAAAGAATATCGAACGATTAGTTTGCACGTCTTACCATCCACATATCGTTCAGTATTTGCTGTCCATAAAACAATGATTTGCTCTAGATTGTGAGCTTTCTTGAATTCTCGAATATCATTTCGGATACGTTCCAGATCCTGTTGTTTACTTCCTTTCGGAATTAAGTTATTCGCTCGATCTTCTTGATTAGCAGCAATAAAATCCGGGTAATAAATCGACGGCAATGGTTTCAATTGACTCATAGCAGATTTCAATTTTTCTTGTAATTCATAATCGAAAACGCATGCTCGTCTCATTGCTTCATACAAGTTGGATTCATTGATATCCCATCCACCAATGACCAGATCGTTCGGATGTAACATCGGCAGAATTGTATTGAACGGGATATGAACTTCTTTACCTTCATCGTTACTACCGATTCGAATAGTTGTCGATTGAGTTAATGAACCATAATAATTTGAACGTTGCTCACCTTCTGTAAGAAAAGTCGTGCTTGTCATTACATTGTAACTATATCGAAAAGTTTATTTTTTACCTTTACGCATCCATGATATATTTCCTCGATTGGCAATAATTGCACCTGTGAATGTCGAACCATTATTTCCGCCCCAACCAACAAGCATAACTCCTGTACGTTGGACTTGTCGTTTAGTACGAAATGTGTAGTGATATTTCCGTGGAATAATCTTCACATGTTTCGTATTTTGATCGACTTGGCAATGATTCATTTCGTAGGTATACTTGCTTTCGATATACTCATTAGAATATGTCGTATTTTTGCTCTCGACATGAATCGAATAGTCTGATGTTACACCTAAATCATTCGAGAGGAGATAAACAATGAGAACATGTCAAAGATGTTCTGTTACCATCATGATCAGCCGGATTGATGTGTTGGTTATCCTCGCTGAGACTGTTCACTTCGACAATCGCTGTTGATTTTGAATCTTGTTTGGTTAAAGGTTGATGACCGTTTGTTGCTGGCATGATTCAAAATTCTAAAACAAGAATCACTTCTGAATTCATTTGGAATAGCTGAACGGAAAAATTAAATCAAATTTATTCGAACCAAATATCTGAGAAAATGTTTGTTTCTGTTGAAAAATGTTCCTCTTCTCTTCGAACCGTGTTTGTCCATTGAATGAACGTCTTAACATATCGTAAAATAACTTTCCGATAAAGAGTATGTCGAAATATACAAGATAATGATGGAAACCGATGAACGCTTGCCATTTTGTCTTCACAAAACCAAGCAGATAGCCAATATTAAAAAAAAGAATCCTGAAAATTGTCAAGATATGAAAGCCTCCCATCTCTCGCCACAGATAATCACATACAAATGCATATCCAATGAAATGCGCACATAGTAAATAAAAAAGCATAAGGAGAAAGTAACGTTGATTATGTTTACCAATACAAGCACCGACAAAAACACAATGATGATCTTGTATTGGTATACAGTGTTTACACAAACGACAGTGATGCGATCGTGCTGGACGGTAGTTTGAACAAACTTGACAGTACTGATCGGTTAATTTCGCCTCATGTGAATATGAAAGTGGAGCGAGTGTTGTTCGAATTAAGTTCAAATAACCCTGACAGAAAAAGTATAGGAAAATCACATTAAATACTAGATAGTTCACGTCAGATAGTTGTTGACGTTGACGATAAGCTGGCACGACGATGAAATAAACAAAATAAAGTGCGTAAAGTAGTCCGATATAAGCATAACACCATGCTGTTCTATTCAAAGAACGCAAGAGAAACACTTTCATCTGAAAGAAATGATCACGGTTAGCTTTTGTTTCTTCTATATCGTTTTCTTTTATCAAAACTATGCTGTTTGCGTGTTTATAGTTACTCGTTCAAGGGAATCACTTAACAACTGAAATCGATTGCCTTCGTCGATTTCGATTAGGTTTAATTTGTACTCGTTTTCGATTGATTCTAATTGTTTTCGTTCGTCGCCATGTGAGACGATCGTCAGGGCACAACCGAAAGCCCCGAAACGACCAGCACGACCAATTCGATGTAGATACGTTTCATGATCATTAGGTAAATCCATTGAGATGACAAAATCAACATAATCTAAGTCAATGCCACGCGATGTTAAGTCCGTCGTGACTAGTATTTGACATTTATGTTTGTACATATCACGCATCGCTTTCGTTCGACGGTTTTGTGCCAATGAACTCGATGTAAATGTGGTTTCGTAACCTAGAGCTTTGATACGTTCACAAACAGCTGATGAACGCATGCGAAGATTGGAGAAAATCACGCATTGACGAAACTTTAATTGAGGTAATAAACGCAACAACAGTGAAACTTTCTGCTCGAACAGATGCGATTCGAGTGGATGATATGGAATGACGATAAAGAATTGTTGAATACCAACTAAACTCGGCGATTCAGAATCGACTAGACGTATACAAGTCATGTCACGCATATATCTTTCAGAGAAACGCACAATCTGCTCGGGATAAGTTGCCGATGCTAGTAGAACTTGCTTATTCGATGGCATGTAAGAGAATATTGAATTAATCTGGTCCTAAATAGAGAATGACACACCTGACATATTTCAAAACTTAATCTTTGATCGTTCGATTTTCATATATTTTCTGAATGAGTCATCTCAGATGATTTTCGATCAAGGCCAAAGAAAAGTATGTTATTTCAGACATTTCTGCAGGATAATAAACATTGAATATAAGCAAACAAGTTATTTTTCTTTCGAACCGATGCACTTAGCGGCTTTCAATGAACCAAAACAAACTTGTTCGCATACGAAACTGTTCTTTAAATCTTACTTGAAATTCTTTGCATAATAAAACATCGGCTTCATCTAAAACAAGCAATCGAATCGTATCTGCTCGAAGATATTTCAACCGGAGTAGCTCTTCAATTCTGCCTGGTGTGCCGACAGCAATATGACATTTTTTCAGATGATTTTGATCGTCTTTCAAAGCCGTTCCACCAATAAATGTATGTACAAAACATTCAGGTTGTTTGATCGTTTTGATTACTTGAACGATCTGCTGTGCGATTTCGCGCGTTGGTGCCAACATGATCACTTTCGTCGTAATCATTGATGGATCTTCGTCGATAGTTTGAACAAATTCTAACGCAGTTATGCTGAACACCAGCGTCTTGCCGGTACCCGATTTTGCTTGAATGAGAAGATCAATGCCAAGTAAAGCTAATGGCAGAGTTTGTAGTTGAATAGGCGATGGTTTGACAAAGCCTGCTTTCTGCAGAGACTGCTGCGTAAGTTCCGAAATAGCCAAATCCGAAAACTGAACATTCTCATCTGTTTTAATGTCACTCGTTAAGCCTCTTTCAGCCATTGAACTAGAAAAAAAACAAACAGAAGATTTTTCTCCTTGTGTGATATTTTAGTTGAAATGTAAAAATAAAAAAAGAAGATTTGTTTATATTTAAATCAAAAATAGAATTCACGTTTGGAAATGCTTTAGAAGAAAACAGTTTACAAATAAAAAGCTATACATCGCCGAAGTATAAAGAAAGCATATCACAGAAAGGCGATGTCCTAATCAATGCATATCACATCAACTGCGGAAGATGTTTTGGACTCGGAAGATGTAATTAAATTATTATTTCGATCAACTTGGGAAACTTTCGCTGCGAAGTTCATCTGTTGAAGTGGATTGCTCACCGCTGGCATGTTCGGTCTCGGATCTGAATTCAAACAAGGAAATAAACGATAGTGAACGCATATTTTCTCACAACTCACTGTTTGTCGATAGTTTTGGGCCATTGTCAGTTTTCTTCGTTAATTTCGACGACAATGGTCGACGTGTTGCCAAGAATCGATCGGTATTATCATTTAGCATTATAAAATTATCCAAGTTTGTTCGTGTGTAAGGCGAATCATCGCTTGTAATGGATGAATGTAGCGACGCAAATATCGATTGATCAGTTTTTGTTATTCCAGCAGATGATAGAATAAAATGATGTCGATTTCCCATTCGTATACTATATTCAGCCTTGTATCTATCATTTTGCTTCGCATATAAGTCGTGTTTATTCGTGATTTTTAATGATTTGATTATCACATCGAAGTTCTCTGCTGAAATTATCGAACTGATTGATGTATGAGGCAATGCACAGACAAGATTGGGTGATTCTCTAGAAAAGTTTGCTAAGTTTATGATTTCGTCGAAGATTTCACTTACTCGTTTTCTTCGGTAACAATAATAGCGTTAACAGTTGCTTTTAAACATTTAGCTACTGCTTCGATAATGCTTAACGGAGTTGATTTCGAGTGAAATCCGTTCCGTTTGAGTGGTCCTTGAGTATGACACATTTGCCGGATAGTATGTTCTCGACAGATATTGTATTCTAACGTCAATGAATGAAGGCACGGTGGATAGCGAATCGAGTAACAACGTCGATGTTTCATAAGAACATAAGTTGGCGTTGGTTTCTTTTTGCGTGGTAGAACTTTGATCATAGTGCTTGCTGTTCCTGGTGTTCGTGCTGTTGATATATGTGGTTCCGAGTTTGTCTTGACGTTTTCGGATAAGACAACGATATCATCATCTTCGTTCTTTTTTTTGACGAGTTTCTTTCGCGGAGCGCGTCGTTTAGACGGAGGAACTTTGGATTTTGATGGACCTGGTTCGTTAGGTTTAGGCACTTGTGATACTGACGGGAATTGTGATGACAAAGGTACTGGCGGTGTGGATGTATCCATGCACAATGCGAATTTCCCATCCGAACATTGAACAACATAGAGCAGATCAATATCTTTGGGATCGGCTTTATCGTGATACAAGTTAGTTTGATGTTTCTCATAAACATGTTGATATAGACTATGATGCGAATGCGTGTAGTACGAGCAATGCGAACAGAAAAACATGTGCGTAAAGATATGTTGAAGAATTATTGAACTAAATGAAGAAAAAAAAAGACGAAACAAATATTGAAGTCAATAAATTGTTGATGAACTGACCTTGAGACACTTTTGAATTTACAAATATTACATCGGTAGCATTCGGAATCATAGAATGCTGATAAAAGGCCGGAACCATTGAGCGGTTGTCGCCGAATTTCATGTGCAGCTGTAGGAGTTCCGAGGGAAGCAGAAGGCGATGGTGGACGACTACGTGACTGAAATACCAATTCGGCTTGATGATGACGTGACAATGGAAGCGACGGTGGTGGTGATGGTGATCGCTAATTGAAAGTATTTTTTCGTTAGTTAAAGTACTTTTCCCTAGCAAAACTTTGATCTTTCTTTATAAACATCTCTAAGTACATTATCAAGTGCAGTCGCTTCAAATTGTGCGAAAAATGATCAGAACAGATTCGGATAGTTCCCGTACTCTATCTTTTACATTCTCGCACTGAAAGTACGTGTTTTCCTTAATCTCTTGATCTACTTATGTATTTCATATGATAGGATTGATATCGTTGCGGTTAAATAAATACAGGTGAAAGATATACAATGTCTCATTGCCTGTCTTTTCCGCTCGTTAACATGGCAAATAGAACCAATAATCTGCTTTCCAGTGATGACGTCATCATACAAATGTATTTACACTTTGATGATGTCATGCACGAATTATTTCGTGATAAATAATTGAGCGTCTTTATGATTGAGACGATGAGTCATTTTTCAAGTACTATATATTAAGTATGTTGTACATCGTACAGGTAAACGATCCTATTTAGCTTGATTTCTGTTCCGTACCAAGTGTTCTGTTTAACGAACGAGAAAAACAACGTAGCACGTGATGAAGGTGCCTATTCGTTTTGTACAATTGTAAAGGTTGATTTGCATGACTGCTTCGAAATCAAACTATTCAAGGATCATATGGTTAGATTCTCACAGTATTTGTTGTGTATTTTCTGTGTAAAAAAGTAAATGAGGAATTTTAACTTACGTGATGCAAATAAGACGTCAAAATAGCTTTTCCTGGTTGAATACGTTGAGCAGTAGGTCGAATAACTGTTGACGTAGGCAATGGCAATGGTAATGGCGGTGGCGATCGACACGACAGAGGTGTGCTTTTAAATCTTCTTGGAAACGGATGAGCATATCCATCTTGTTGATGAATCACTGGAAGTAGTGAAGTTGAATCAGAATGATCTAAAATGTGTTTTGTCACGTGTATCGGAGTGATTGGTGGTGGCGATTCATACGACGGTCGTGATGGCGTATGAATGAAATTTGTATAGGCTCTCGAAGCTGTTGATTGTGTTCCACTAGACCAATCGAATGCCGAAAATGAATGAGATTCAGGTCCAGAATATAAATAATCATTGGAATGAAGCGTTCCTGAGGCGGATTCGTAATTCGTTGCATTGTAGGGAGGATTTATTTGATGATAAGGATCATATCTTGGCCGTTTTGACCAGTTTACTATTGACGAATTAACACGAACATTTGCATCGGATAATTTTCGTTTCCGATGAAAATGATTGTATTCATATATAAATGGTTCTGAATTGAACGTTGAGACATGCGTTTCAAGTTCGTTGTCGTCATCGTCATCTGTTAAACACACAATGGGTGGCGAATAAGGAGATTCCATGTTGTTTTTGAGGCGTAGACACTCAAAATATTTCTTTTTTTCTCCTGTGCGTACAGACAAATGAAGTAATCTAAGTAAAAAAAATAAAGCAAACGTAAGGTTTTTACATGGGCGCTACAAGCACATTCAATTTCGAGTAACTTACAGCGACAGAAAAGAAACTATTGGCTGAAGAAAGCAAACATACCTCAGATCGAACGACATGTTAACTCATTCTAATGATGCGTCGTTTTTTCTAGCAATGCATCTCAAAGGTCAGAATATAGTCTCTCGGGCTCACTTTGATATTCAATGTATTTAGATGAAGTCAAGTAACACATGTAGATTTTGTTAACGTACGGTTAACATGCCGACTTCTTGAACTAAATGAGATGTGTCAAAGTGATCTACAATATTTCATATGTCGCCATTGAAAATCTTTAGTTTGAACACTAACTTGACTCTTAGAATTTACTTTCCGTCCGGTTCGATCATTACGTTGGCTTTGCGAAGAAACAAATCCATATTTAATAACTTCTAGTATAGAGCAATGATATTACAAGGAATAAATCAATGGTCTGAACAAAAATAAGAGCGAAAAGTCATGCTCAATGATACTGATGATTGATAGATAAAAAAAAGTCAATATATTCGTGTTTTTTTCTAAAGAATAGATTCTATGTACAGGCATATAATCACCTCTTGCTTAGCGAAAAATAACTTGAACAATTCAATGACAAAGACTAAAATGAACTGACATACTGTAGACGAATTGCTACATCTTTTGACCTCCTTTCGTGTCTTTATAGTCATTATTGTTAGCTTATAACAGAAAATGATTCGACAGGTCTAAAGTTGATTTCAAATCGAATCGATAGAAATGTTTAATTGCCAAGAGTGTGCAAATATTTACTAGAAAACTTTAATAATCTTTTTTCATCCAGCTAAAAATAGTCGTCAACAAGTCTGAAAAATTCACCAGCACAACATGAATATTTTCCTTTCTGAAACGATAATACGGATTTACATATTCAGTTCAATAAATGAATTTAATTATTCACACAACAGATGTTTCCTTTTTCGCTCAGCAGGAACGTCAAGTTTCCTCTTTTCTTCACACTTATATTTAGCACGTCTGTTCTTCTCTTCAATATTCGATTGTTAACGTTGTGTATTCTATCTGATTTCTTTTTCCTCTTCTCCGAATGTTCACGAGAATGTGCGTGCATCGTTTCTATCGAATTTTCTCCGAACGAACATAGCAGGCGAGGAAAGAAAAAGAAAAAACGCGAGCGACCGGACAAGCGCACGTTCATTGTTCTCGTTCGCCAACGAACAAATTGACTACCATTGGGATATTTCATTAGGAATGATCACGAAACGGTAAGAAATTTAATTGAAATTGTTGATTTTTCAGAGGTAAAAATGACATTTTTTTCTCCAGGGAAAGCTGCAGTCGGAATAGTTTAACTGAAGATGAACTCGATTGTAATGAAAATTTGCCAAATATTCGAAAAATTCCATCATCAAGAAAGAAGTCTTACAAAAAATGGACTAAAGAAGAAGTAAAATTCATACGAAATTTTCGTTCTTTTCCTACAGTTAATCTTTCTTTTCTCAGGATGATCGCCTACGAGAATTTATTAATTCTCATGATGGATATAACGATTGGTCGAGTATCTCAAATTATGTAGGTAATGGCCGTACCGATGCTCAATGTCAACATCGATGGGAACGATTCCTCGACCCATCGATAACAAAAGGACCGTGGACGGATGAAGAAGATAAAAAGGTTATCGAACTTGTCCGCGATTATGGCGCAAGACATTGGAGTTTAATTGCGAAAGAATTGAAAGGTCGAGTTGGGAAACAATGCCGCGAAAGGTTTGGATTCATGTGAATGAGGTTCCTGTTTTGCTAACGATGTTGCTTTCAGATGGCATAATCATCTCAATCCATTGATTAATAAAAATCCTTGGACGAATGAAGAGAATCTACGATTGTTTATTCTACATCAACATCTCGGGAATAAATGGGCTGAAATAGCCAAACATTTCAATGGAAGATCAGATAATTCGATTAAGAATCATTGGAATTCTTCGATGAAGAAAAAGTTTTATTCCGAAGTTGAAAATCTGAAAAAGCAAGGATTGGACTGGACTGCATTGTAAGAATTTCAATTTACCATCAAACAAAACTTTTCTCTTTTTTCGATTAGAATTCCGTCAGATTTTCCATGGCCTAAACTAGACCCTGCTACTTCTATGACAACGAATCAACCAGCTCGTGTACCACTAGGTACAATCACGAATCGATCTACACAAATCCATTCGTCGACTAGCAAACCAACTACTATAGAAAACATCCTACCACCATTAGCGACGATTAAAACAGAAAATCACTCGCCAATTGTGAACAGTAGCACTGATCATCATCAGATCCTTTCAACTACGAATCATCACGAGTTCGAGATTCCATTAATCCATCCAACATCAACAATCTACCCTGATCAATTGCAGGTAAGTTCTCATACCGATAATTTGCATACTGAGAGATTCAATTCCAATCAATTCAGCCATTACCTTCTTGCCAAGCCATGACCAATTATCTACCAAACCAATCAACAGACGACCTCGATCATTTATTCTACTATACGCCTTTGTCGCCCATCAAACAACTGCCTATGCTTTCCTCATCTGCTAATTACACATCTTCATCTAGTCAAAATTCACAATCGGACGATTTTCATCATCAACTCCTATTCCATTCGCAATCATCGATTGATTACTATCCATTACATTCATCTTCGAGATCGTCATCATTACCTGTATTTACCTGCTCATCACTGTCTACAGATACGAATTATTTGACAACTGATGATACTTATCTGATTAAATACAATGACAATGTCATTGTTTCACCGACGCATGTCTCGAGCGGATCTTCTCCGTCGAGGTACAATGTACTCAACACGCCCGAACGCGTATGAATAAAACGAACACTTGATATGCCATACGAATTTGTTCTTGTATTTTAGCCGCATTTGATTTGTCTGACGCCCAGTCCAAAACGAGATTGTTTCAAGTAACTTAACATTCTTCGATCATTTCATATCTATCTGTTTCGTTCTAGTGAATATCTCCCGTTTACGGATGCAATCATGCATGAAAATCCTTCGTCTCTATGTTTCAATAAATTCGATTTGCCCAAAATTGCACAAGAAAAATTTGGTGTAAGTCACTATTTCCTGTCCTTACATATTCTTCTTATCTTCTCTCTCTCTCTTCAGTACAATCCAACATATACGGAAATCTTGCTTGGCCAAACACGGGACCAACGTTGTGTGACCGACCAAGCTCGTCGCTACCTCTCCCACTCATCTTTGAACGATTCCTAGGACAATTGATTTTCAACACATAAGCATAATTCAATTCTTTTAGCCGAATGTGTTTTTCGCTCAAAGCAAACATTCGCATCAGGTTTATACAGTTAATCATTCCTGTATAGAAATCTACACATGTTCGTCCTCAAATTCATTTATTTATTATTAGAGATTATCCGTTTTTATCTACATCTTTGTATATATTTCTTTTTTTTTGTGTATGTAAGAAAAAAATAACATATACTTGTTGATTCAAGCAAGAAGATATTTCTCGATAAGAGAGCTGATTTAACCCGCTTAAATAATCCTTATCGATATGTGAAGATAACGACTGGATTTCGAATTCCTTCATCTGATTAGAGAGATTCAATGCTGACAAACAGTGGCGACATCTATGTCATGCAGTCATTGTTTAGTCAATTTCTCGACCATCTAGTGATCAGGAATTATCTGAATGGCATGTGCATAATAAATAATTGATATTTATCGAAAAGATCATAGAGGGGCTGAATTGACTTCATCGCAAAGGTTGATAGAGCACCTAAAGTTCTGAACAGTTGAATTATGCGTCAAAACAATAGAGCAAGATTTTGAGCACGTGAGGTGTATGTTTATTTAAAGAAAAAGGATTGTTTTTAGATCGGTTAGTGTCATGTGTACATCGTTCGATAGCGGGAAATACTCGCATTTGAAGAAGGTTATTCTTCTTTCTGGTAAACGCAAATGTGGAAAGGATTATATCGGAGAAAAGTTAGCTGACAAACTACAGGCTATTTTATTGCATTTAAGTGAACCATTAAAACTCGAATTTGCACGATTACATCAAATAGATGGTAAAGAATTATTGAGCTCATCGTCTTACAAAGAAAACTATCGAAAGGATATGATTAAGTAAATTCAAATTTCTCGTTTTCTCTTTCATTCAGCTGTTTGTTTTACTTTAGATGGGGCGAAGAGAAACGTCATGCTGATCCTTCAATATTTTGTCGTTTAGCTATCGAACAAAAAGATGAGCAATGTTCAACAAACCCCATTTGGATTGTCTGTGATATTCGACGTTATACTGATATCGAATTTTTTCGAAAATATTTTCCAAAACAACTATTACTTGTTCGTGTTGAAGCGTCGATCGAAACACGACAAAATCGTGGATGGGTATTCACGCCTAACGTTGACGATTCGGAATCCGAATGTCAACTCGACGAAAATGTTCGCTGGTCTTTCATTTTTTCAAATAATGATTCGGATAATTTCGAAACACAAATGACACATCTTATTCAAATGATTCAATCATGAATAATCATTTCTTTGGTCTTTCAGATTATGAATGGCTAATTTGGCAGATACTGAAGTCGAACCTACGAATGAGTCGAGCTTAACGTCAGAAGATGATGAAACACTTGATCCTCGAGTGCAGGTCTGCTTCTCGTCATTGTACACGTTAGTTTCATTTATTTCCAATGATTCTTTAGATTGAATTAGAACGTTTAAATCATGCTAATGAAGCAATCAACCATTTAGAGCTACAACTTGATGTTTGTCTATCGATTTCGAAATTTGTGCATTAGTTTCATGTTTATTTTATTTTCTAGGACGCTCGACAAACTCTCAAAGAGTTTTGTGATGCAGGAGAAGAAGAACTATCTCAATTGGAGAAAAGTATCGGATCAGCGGTGAGCAAAGCACGAAGTTACTATGATGCTCGAATTAAACTTCGAGATGCACGTGATTCACTGACCAAAGCGAAACATCGTTTCGAACGTGCACAAGCTCTTCATGTTGCAGCAAAAGAATTAGCAGTTGTTTCAGTAAGAATTCCATCTACTTTCATCTCCTGTTTAAGTCATTCACGATATTTCAGGCTGATTATATTGACGAAGCGGAAAAGTCTAATCAGAATGCTACAACGTGGAATGAAACCTATGGCCAAGCAATTGCTAAAGTATATCTAAAGACGACTTCGTAGAAACCTTAATACTATGTTTAAACAATAGGCTGCCGATGCTGAACGAGAAAAATACCAAGCGGATTTAGATCAACAACACGCCGACCAAGCGTATGCAGAAATAGAGAAATTAGTAGAAAAATTGCAGAAAGATCATCGACGTGCGATTAACAAATCACAGTAAAAGTCTTCTCAGTGAGAATTTTACCAGAGAATACTGTGCTTTGTTCTGTAGACCTTATTACGAGAAAAAAGCGGAGTACCACAAAGAATTAGACGTAAGTGTATTCAACATTTCTTCGTTTGTTAATTCATTCGTTGTTTGATCAGTTTCAGAAACGTAAAGTTTTCGGCCTGGAAAACTGTGTGAACGAAGCGAAAGCTCAATATCAAGAATCGTTGCGTAATCTGGAAAAGATCAGTAATGAAATTCATGCACAACGAAGTCAGGGTAAACTACGGCGAGAGTTAGGTGAACGAACAGCAGGTGTCGGTGAAGAGCAACTTGAATATACTGAATTCGTAAGACATTTGACGAAGTTTTTGAATCAAATTCTTACTGGACCACTCGTTTAGGAACGATTACCGCCATCCCCTGTGAAACGAACCCCTTCGCCACCACCATCGCCGAAAATTCCAACTTTAAGACGATTAAATCGTCCGGAACAACTACTTCGTTCGTGTTTACTTCGAACTGAAGCTTTGCCTGCTGGCATATTCGCTAACACAAGCGGACGCTCGTCACCCGAGGGTGATGAAACAACCCCAACAAACTTCAATAGTCAATTCCTTCTCAATGCAAAGCCCCAGCAACCACCACCTTCAGTACTTGTCATGAAATCAGATAAACACCCAAACGAAATGACTTCTAATACTCACCAAAGAAAATCCAGTGATGGTTATTCATCGCAAGTGACTGACGATGAAGATGACAAAATAAGTTCACTTCATGTTCTTACCGATGAACAACTGGAACATTTAGCGTGCGTCTATCATCCCCTACCTCAAGTTCCAGCATCATCATCATCGTCATCTCAAACAGGTACGACTCGACCGTCGTCTACCCAAATGTCAGAATCTCTACTACGTTCATTAAGCAATCCTCTTTCGAAACTTGTTTTACGTTAAAACAACTGGTTATCATATGTTTCTTTTCTTTTGTCTCTATCTCTACAGACACAATCGACGAACTTCTCTTACAGTTTGAAAATTCCAAGTCACAAGCTAAAACATTTTTTCGTAATTTGTTTAAAAATAATAATGACAAGTGAAACTAGTGATCCGATTTGTTAGCTTGCATGGCTTCACATTCATTGCTTGCTGCTGATTTTTATTGCATGAACCACTAGCTGTTCTCTCTTTTTGTTTTTCGTTTCATATGTGACATGACAATCTATTTTCAGCCCTACCCCTGTCAAAGCAGAATACAACACTTTATTTTACAGAAAAGAGGTGCTATTGTATAACTAGACATATATTTTTTGTTGGTTTAGTCAGTACGCTTAGTTATTGATATTTTATTTCAATGCATTGATTTCGTAGGCATTCAGAGTACCTATTATTTGCATATCTGTTTTTGTTTTCATTGTTTATCATAACTAGAGAATAAATTTTGCTCGTATGTATCTGTCATTCCCAAGCTGAACAGAAAAAGACAAGTATGTAGTTGTTTAAATACAAGAAATGTCTATGAATGGTATCAATTTTATGCTCAGTTTGACTTTTGCCATTTGTGCCAATTGAGACAGGTCATCGAATCAATTAGTATGAACACTAAATAAGTTCATGTGATTGGTCACAAGTATGTGTGAAGAAAAATTGAGGTGGAGAAGTCAAAAAATCTCCGTTGCGCTCAAGTGACAACAAGCTCAAACCATCGAGAAGATTGAACGATGAATTTGATTTGATACGAAATCGCATCTGACGACGTGTATACTTCTTCTAATAAGATTATCAAACGATTCTCATAATTTTTATTAGCCTTTGATTGCACGAGATAGAATGAATAATCTGACAGAAGGTAGGTACAAAAGAAGAAATGACGACGCAATTCAAACGCATGAAAGAAGTCTTATCTTTTGGAGTACGCCGTGATTGAACATCGAACACGGAATTAATCAATATGAGAACACTTGAAAAAGAAAAATAGATAATTTTCGTCTTCAAGGAACGATTATTGAATTCTGCGAAATGAAGAACAGTGTATGAGACTGTCTTCTGACTACTATGAAACACTGAAAATTGGTTTCGACTCAGTTTTTTTTTCCTTCGGTGAGTTTTACCTTTTACATCGATATAACTGAAAGAATTCTTTTTTGTATAAGTGAATATCAACCAATGATTGAAATTCTTTCTCTCTCCACCAATAAAAAAAGCGAACTTTTCTCTCTCTCTTATCAATTTCTCGTCAAGAGAAATCGTGTTATTTCATGTAGGCATTGAATCATAAAAAAAGAAAAAGTGCAGTGTATATACACACACACATACCGTCTTCTCGTCAATACCTGCGCTTCATTCTCATCGCTTTCAATCGAAGAAAATAATTCCTTGATTGTTTTTATGATTGTACCATGTGTTTATACCAATATCAAAAAGTTCTAATTTTATTACTACAATAACAGCAGTGATCAACAACAATAACAAAAAAGAATTTGATTATCCGTGAAATCATCACTTACATTTATTGCATCATTATTAACACCTATAATCATCAAACAGGTAAACATACAAAGACAATTCCTTCGTTCTCTCTCGACGAATTTTCTTCCTAATACGGGAATAGCAATCAAGCAGAGAGAACATTTTCATATATTTCAACAGATCCATCTTTCACATGACATTAATTTTTCAGAAGATGAACACGAACTACCCGCCAATTATCTCGATCGATCATGAATCAAATCCTCGCGTTTATGAAACACCCTATAACACTTTCGTGCCCTATTCTGACTACGCAACATCGTCGAAATTAGAAGCATTTGATTACAACTATTGGCCAACAAACACCACTACCACCACCACAACACACAATATTTTAGCTGAACCATTAAGTTTAACAACCGATCATATCCCAACACCTACATCGTCAACAACGAATCAAACTTTGGAAAGGATTGGTTCTAATTCACCTGTACATTTATCTCAAATTAATTCAACAACAACAATTTCAGCTACCCATCATCATCATCATATTCATCAACATCTTTATCCTTTGAACGAAAATTCCAATTGGTTAACCCCGACTGAATATCAATCACCAAGTGGTTATCGTCATTACTCCTATCCCAATAATAATTTATACGATCAACCTCAATGGTCGACACCAGCACCGGCGCTTCCAATTAAATTTGAGTCTTCCTATAGTCCACCATCATACTACGAATCAGCGCATCATCTGGAACATCCGCTATCGATTAATAAAGAAGAACCATCCGATTCTTCGTATACAAAATGTCCTGAACAATCATCAAATTGGTTTAAATCACAATTAACTCCAGTTCCACCGAAGAATCCTGCCAATGGTATGTCACATATGTATATCGATTGACCTTTGTATATCAAAGAAGAAGTAAAAGGGCATTGAATTGAATATTGCTTAAACACGCGCTTCCACATTGGTGTTAGACATTGATCAGAGTGATCGGTGTTGAATGTAAACAATTTAAGAAATAAGAGCGAGCGAGAGAAAAAAGTAACAATCATTCAATCCGTTTTGATTAAGTTTGGCTTGAAGAAAAAAAAGGATTGTTGAGTGTCATAAAATGGTACCGTCCTGCGTGTATTTTGTTTTATGGCTTTCAATTGTTGATACACAGAGACATTGATAAGATTAATCTCGAGCTCATCCATCGAGTGGCAAAGAATAGAAAAACGAAACGGCTAGTCAGATGAAAAAGCGACATGCCCATACACTATCAAAAGAGAAACAACTGTTTGCCAAGTTCTTCTTTGCGAAAAGAAAATCTTAGATTAAAGAATATCATCCAACTTACCTTGAGTACGATGATTTTGATTATGTCGTATACTGATGCATATACATTGAGTTTTTATATCTGAAGTAAGCGCTAACGCAGATTTTATTAGGTCGGATGTTATAAAGTTTTATAGTAGCGAAGAGAAAAATGATGATTTGTCCGTTCTAGGAAAAACGCGTACGCGTGATAAATACCGAATTGTTTATACTGATCGGCAACGATATGAACTCGAAAATGAATTTACTGTATCAAAGTATATTTCCATACCACGAAAAGCTGCTCTATCTTCAACACTGGGATTGAGCGAACGACAAGTAACTTGACCGAGACTTTTCACTGAATCAATGTTGAAATTTTTCTAATCTATAGATCAAGATCTGGTTTCAAAATCGTCGTGCTAAAGAACGTAAGATCAATAAAAAACGGCATGAAATCTGTTCGCGACAACTGAATAATTCCAACGATGCCGATTCATCAAGTGATGATGATCTTGAAAGTTCATCGTATTACACCAACTACGTGTGATGCTCTATTTATTGCCTTGTAGTTCCTTCGAAATAGACACTGAAGAAGCAAATCTAACATGGTTTTCGTTTCAATTTTGATATATCTAGAAATAATATTTTGATTGTATTAAATCTTTCTTTTTGGTTTTTCGCTTTCGTTTTCCTTTCTCATATTGGTGATTGTCATAAAAAAAAAACTCGCATACGTCGGCGGTAAAGGACATTTCTTTCCTCTGCTTGCATTTGATCATACAAGCTCCTAATACATTGTAAGATAACTAGAAATGTATGCTTTCGTATTAGACGTACTCGTGTAAGTACGAATACCTCGAGGCACCAATCGCTCGAACGAACAAAACAAACACAAATGATTGTTCATCAGTTATTTTCTCGATCGTTCTTTCTTCACTATATCGTCAGTCAGTACATACCGATGTATATATACATCTTTCCAGGATGACTAGAACGCATGTGTCTTTTCGCACACATATATACGCACACACAAATCGACGACGTCGACTTGTTTTCTATCTGTTCACTAAAGCAAATACCAAACAATGCCATTTTCGATGTTAGTGCACTGATTTCCAGATTGAAGGTTTTCTTCACCGCTTTCCTTTCGTCTAGGTCATATGATTTCCACCTTCAACAACCCAAATCGATTTCTGCTGAGATGGATCCTAGTGTGCTTTGGTGTCTCGGACCAGACTTTGACAAACACACTGTTTTAAGTTTACTTGGCGAGAATAACCCGATGGATACGGGTCTCATGCAACCCACCACACCTACATGGTGGATGTCTAGTCCATCTCAATGGAACACATCATCAATGCCGGATCCGTCTGTCTATACACCTCGTTCAGTAATGAGTGAACTCGGATCTCAATCGCCCACAAGTGGTGCAGCAAAACGACCATTTTCTGATGTCACCAACCGAACGAATAGTAAATGAGAATCATTCATCAATTTGTATCTATTCTCAATTATTTTTCAATCTTAGGTCGACAATTTACTAATACTCAACCAATCAATAAATTGGAATTTTCCACACCTGTTCGATCCATGACACCTGATTTGTACAGTCGAGTGCCTTCATCAATTAAACGATCACGTATTACACCTTCATTAGCATCTACTTATGAAACACCACCACCTCCAGCACCGTTTCCATCGACGACATCAACGACCGATTCAGCTGAGTAGGCCAATTTCCAACATTGACAAATAGTTTTAAAGTCATGACTTATTTCTTGTCTAGACGAGCTCTGGAAATTGCTCTACTACTCAAGGAGCATCCCGATTGTACTTGTGTACTCGTGACATTGATTCAAGAATATCAAAGCCGGTAAGTTCTTTGCTTTCCTTCGGATGAAAGATAAAATAAAATCTTTCGGCAGATTTCAAAAACCACTTCACGTCAGTGAATTGTACACAATGAAACACGTTATTGATATTCAAGATTACGGTGGCAATCGAGTAGCTCGTCTTCTACCTGCATTTCGTGTACGTTTCGATGATAATAACATGCAGGTACGCCATTCTTCTTCTCTATTCTTCCACCCCGACTCATTTGCGTCCCATCTAGGGTCATTTGGAACAACCATATTGCATAATACATTGTCCAAAAAATTTCATTGTTAATCCTGATCTTGATTTACCGTTCGTTCAAATCTCATTTGCTACATTTGCCGAAAATGTTCGTCAATTATTAACCCAACATAGCGGTTCAATGCCTTTAGCTAGGTATACGCATTGACATGTGGTCTTCTCTGTGAAAACTATCTCTTGTCATTTTCAGTTTTCCTCAATGTTATATCAATAGTTTCGAACCTTTGATCGATCACAATGATGGTGTGCCACTTGAACATTATATATCATGTAAATCGAATTGTTTGAAAACTTCAATGGAAAACCTTTTCTTCGACATCTGTAGGTATCAAAGACGTTCAAATTGTTACAGGACAAGGAGTTATCAAAAAAGTACAATTTTCTAACACACCTGGTGTATCATTCATGCCAACGCCATTTGATACATCGAACAGTAAGTTGATATGGTGTTTGATTTATATTTCTATTTTGTTTTTCTTGAATCAAAGTGCATGTCGAAATGTGTGCAGAAGTGCAACAACGTTTGCAACAATTTTCACGTGAAGTTCTTGATTTACTCAAAAATCAAGGCTCTCATTGTCGTTTACCTGTTTCGAAATTTGTTTCTGCTTATCATCAATACTTCAGTCGACAATGTCGCGTAGCTGATTATGGTTTTTCGAAAATTATCGATCTTTTACTTGCAATTCCCAAATCAATTCAAGTAAGATTTTCGACAACAGTCGATTTTCTTTCTTCATTCTCCTCATAATAGATTCTTGGCGATGGGAATAAGCGCATCATGACGATCACACATCGTTGTCAAATGAAACGATTTACTAATGATATTATTCGTATTTTGAAAAATAAACCACAACGATCAATGTCTATCAGTGAAATTCCGATTGAATACGGTAGGAAGAACATTCCGCTAGGATTTCGTACGTATGAATTTGTTTTGTTTGAAAAGAAATGGCGTACAAAAAACCGTTCTATGTTGCTGATTTTGGCATGTGTTACTTGGAAGATCTTGTTAATGAAGTTAAAGATAATAAAGAGTTGGTCGTCGAAGCTGATAAAGATATTATTAAACTTTATCGTAAAGGTATGACGAAGAAAAACTTTGTCCATCCCGTTCGAATGTCATTTGGCTTCTTTTAGAACGAACTGATTTAGAAATTTATGCAACACGTAACTTTGAGAAAGATGTGATCGATATGCTTCGTATTTTACCTGATTTCAGTATTCCATTTCAAAAATTTATTCCATCCTATCAGTATGAGCCCAAGAAGGTCCTCTTCGATCTTACTAGAATTGATTTTCGTTTAGCCATCACTTCGGTTATCAATGTAAAGTACAAACATATGGCTTCAGTCGATTAATTGACTTACTTGAAGAACTTTCACATGTTGTCAAGGTATGATCTGTAGTTGAGAATAGCAGTAACATATGTTCGTGCTATCGTTCTAGATTAATGAAGATAAAAATGGCGAAAAAATTGTTCAATTAACACCAACAATGATGGCACATGCAATTCTATTAAACATCGAACAACTTGTCCGTAAACCACACGGTCCGATTAAACTGAAAGATCTCCAAGCACAATATTTACAAGTTTATCGAAATGAACTCAATCCGGAAGATTTTGGCGTAGCAAGTATTGAAGCACTGCTTCTGACAATGACAGATAAACTTGATGTAAGTTCGACACTGACTAACGAGATCGGTTTCGACATCAATGACTACTTTTAGTTTCATTATACTGAATCCGATATCACAGTTGCAATGAAAGAACCCAATCCAGCAACGGTTCAATTAGCCAAAAATGTCGTACTTACCTTAATGTTATCTCAATGTCAATTGTCTTTCTGGCAACTGAAACAAGATATGCTTGTTCGATTTAAACAAGATGTGACATTGAATATGTGTCGCAACGAACTACGAGATTATGTTGAGGTTTATCATTGAGATTTTCTCTTCTAGCAGGCATATAAACTCATTTTTATTCAATAGGTGATCGATCAAACAGTCCGTTTGACTCCACCGATGTTTTTCGCTTACAATGTTGTTCTTCTTCTCAGTCCATGTGAAGGTCGTATGGCTTATGATGATTTCATTGTTGAATACCAACGTCGAACTGGCTCAACGCATCTCCTCTATCCAACAGACTACGGTTTTCCGACGATGCCACGTCTCTTCGATGCAATTCAACTTGTTGCACAAGTTCGTGGTCGACGTAATTTCAAAATGATAATGCTCAATCCCGAGTTTCGACGTATATTGCTCAATTGTTTTCTGTTCATTGTTTCTGTTTCCTTGTTTTAGTCGGTGGATATTCTCAACCAACACCTTTCACACCATCGATGACACCTTTCTAATCCTTGTTTCAATCCTCGTTTTGACACACAATGCAACATCGTTTTTCATTTTGTCTATCGACGACAACAGGAAAGAAGTTTGTGCAAAACTTCTTTCGTCGTTCTTTCCATTTGTGTCAGTCTTAAAATCTCCAACAGTTGAATTCGAATTCTTTTTTATTCAATTTTCATTTTACTGCTGCTTTTTAATGTTTACTTATTCACATACGTTAAAACGAGGTGAACTACCGTGTTTTTCTCTTCTTCGCATTAATCAGCCGTATTTTTTCTTATTTAATTTGTGATCAAAAGAAATTATTCTTTTACCTTTCCGATTGTACAAATCATAAATATGTGCATGAATATCTCTTCCTGTCGTGGCACCACTCCTGGTGAACTTTCTCTGTCTTTGCTTGGAATTTCTTCGACTTATCTAAATACGACGTTCTCACGTGTGTGTGTGTGTATAGTTTCTTAACTGCACTTTTTATCGAGATTTTATCTTCTGGAAAAACTTGAGTATTCTTTTTATTATTATTTTTTCCTTGTTCATTTGTAGTAGATAGATACAGTTGACATACTGGATGTTTGTTTGTTTCTTTTTTTTTCTTTTATTGTTCTAGCAAACCTATTGTTTATTCCTTTTTTCGAAAAGTTCTATTAATAAAACATTCACGAGACATTAGCATTCTCTTCATGTCGCTAAACTAATTGAACCCGTTGATGGACCTTCGCATGGGAAATCTTCGACGGTGGGTGAATAGACGAAAATTTTCGTGAATTTCGCGTAGAGACATCTGCAGACAATATGACCGTTGATTTGCAGTGATCATACTCCATCTTATATTTCCAGGAGAACGAATACTATCGAAGCTATCATTTGTTTCATATCAAATCAATGTTTCTTCCGAAACTTGTCACTCGGCGTTCTTCGAAACTTGTCTACAGTTTCTGTCGATCAGTGCAACATCGAAAACCAGTAGAGATCATTCCGTTTGTGAAATCCGAATGTCTTCTTTCATAAAAAATGTTTCCTCTCTATACAGACCACAAAGACAAAAGCCAAGATTCGATTCAGCTCAGTTCGAAGCGTCGATCAAACCGTATGCAGAAGATGTCACAACAGAAAATCAATATGAAAAGTAAATGATTTTTCACCGACCATCATCAAAATGTCTCTTTAGATTATGCAATATGATCTTACCACTAGCGAATTACTCCTACGATGAACAATTGAATGTAAGCCGAGCTTTAATTTGCACGAAATTCGATGTGCCGTCATTCTAGATTAAACAAGGCATTGTAGAACAACTATTCGATCAAATCGGTAATGCTATTCTGTGGGATAAACGAATTGATAGCCAAGTTTTGAAATATGTGGAATTTCATGAGGGGCACTTTTGTCAGGTGAAACGGATTGTTCCATCAGTAAGATTGTTCTGTCTTAATCAAACACATTCTCCTTCGAATATTTTAGCCTTTAACTGAACAATATCGGTGTAAAGATGATCTGTCCTGCGGATACGATGTTGATGGACAGAAAACGATTGGATTTTATATCAATCCTTTGAATAACAAAAGTATTCCTTCTGTTTTACAGTAGAGTTTATCACCGACGTGCTTCTCTCTTAGAATTTCCCAATACTTTGTGCGTATCACCGATACATTTGAAAAGTATGAAAGCGAAACATGCCTTAGTTGCCAAGGTAAGTCATTGATGTCGAGTGATGAAATAAGACAAAAAACCAGCTTGTTTTCTAAGCATTTCGATCGATTTCTCAAACAACATCCATTACCTGTTTGTGCAAATACGAATATATTAAAAAAAGATCAATACTGGCGTACGATGTCATTAAAGTCTAATGAACAAGGGCATCTAGTAATGACTGTCGTCGTGCATCCTCAATCGTTAAGTAAGGTGCTTTGGGTTCGAATCATCGATGAATTTCCCTTAGCAGCACAATCATCTTTGTTTAGACCGAAATCGATCAGATAAAAAAAGATTTATTGAATTACTTCATTGATGGACCTGGCCGCGAATGCGAAATCAATTCGATTTATTTTCAAGCATCGTAAGCAAGTCATACGTCTGATTTTCTGTCCATAACAATTGTTTTCTTGGTATTTAGTGCACATAATCGTTCTACGAGCGACAAGAATCCACTCGAATTGATTCATGGCGAAGCATTTCTCTACGAAACATACAACGGAAAGAAATTCCGTATCTCGCCTGAATCGTTATTCCAAACGAACAAGCAAACTTCAGAAATTTCCTTTCGAACAGTTTTTGATCATGCTCAATTAGACGAACATACCGTTCTATTAGACATTGGCTCAGGCATTGGTAGGAACTACGCCTCTTTCATTCTATTGTTTTTCGAAATTCGCATCTAGGTGTTCATTCCATAATGGCTTCACCAATCGCGAAAAAGGTTTATGCTATCGATCCATTGAAATTGTGTATCGAAGATGGTGAATTCAATGCTAAATTAAACGGTTGTCGAGATAATATCGAATGGATTTGTAGTTATGCCGAAGCAAATTTGCATCGCATATTAAAAAAGATTGGTGATTTACATGGAAATAATTCGCGTCTTGTCGCGGTTATTAATCCATCACGATATAGTCTTAGTAAGCTCGAGACGAACTGATTGATCTCTACCTGCTCTTTTTTTCCTTTCTAGCAAATAAAACAATAAGTATCATGCGTAGTTTACCATCGATTCAACAACTTATCTACGTACTAAACAAAACCGATCAACAAGTTATGCATAATCTTTATGAGTATATTCTTTTCTTATGTTTACTTTATATTGCACGCTGTAATTTAGATTGGCAGCTGGCGAGAGATCTAAACTGAAAGAAGTTGGGAGACCGTTCATCCCAACTGATGTCTATCCCATCGACATGCTTCCGCATTCGACAAATGTTGAAACTATTGTAAAATGTATTCGTGTTTAAATAAAACCGATGTGTTTTTCATAGAAAATCATAAGTCATTCATTTGCATGATCAAAAAATTCTCTGTTCTTAAGAAGAACGAAATCGAGCGTCATCTATTGTTAGTCAGATCTAGAATCTCCGATGAATCATTTTCTCTATTCGATTGGTTTCTTTTCTATTGAAGTCAGTGTATAATAATCTAGTCGATCGACTCATAAATGAAATCAAGTACTATTTCATTACAATACTTATTTGTCTTATCATTCTTACTTTTAGATCTTCGTTATCTTTTTCAAACTAATCTATGGCTGCTCTTACTGATGATACTTACGAATCTATTGGCTTAGTAAAACCTGAAGTTTATGTCTATGTGATACCTCCACGTCAATCAACAACACGTAAGCATCGTGCTGCAGATTGGAAACTAGACTCGCCGAATTTCATCTGTCGTTTGAAAGTAATTACAAAAGGTGAAAAGTGTTTGATACGTTTGGAAGATCGTAATACGGGCGCACATTTTGCCACATGTCCAGTTGAAAGTTATCCGTCAATTGCCGTTGAAAATGTCGAAGATTCCACGCGTTATTTTGTTATTCGTGTACAAAACGATAATGGTCAACAAGCCTTCTTAGGCATTGGTTTTAACGATCGTTCGGACTCATTCGATTTTAATGTCGCACTCCAAGATCATTTCAAATATCTCAAACAAGCAAAACAAATTGAACAAGAAGCTCAACAGACTGCAAGCAATCCATCACAAGCGCAACAACCGAAACTGGACTTGAGTTTCAAAGAAGGACAAACAATAAAGATTAACCTGAAAAGTAGTTTGCCGGGCGATGAACATGCAAAGAAACCTAGTAAGAACACAAACGATTCATTCGTACCCGGAATTCTACCACCTCCGCCAGGCTCATCAATTCCGAAACTAACACCACCACCTGGTTCGACAATTCCGAAATTCGCACCACCACCCAGTTCGGTCAATGCAAGTGTAACCCCATCGACAGCAACGCCAACGTCAACTACTACCAATACCACTAATACAAATGTTCATTCCGATTTGAGTTGGATGCAATTTTAATTATATTTTGTGAAAAAAAAGCGTTGGTAATAATTAACACATGTAGATGTCTATCTTTCTTCACTGTTGTCTTTTTCTTACACGTTTCAAATGTTATGAACAACCAATAAATCAATTAACTCTCGATTATTTCACGCAAAAAGCAGTGTTACATTGCTCACGAGATCCGAGATTTTAAATCAATTTGGCATCGATCTGCCGGAAGCTAGTCGAACTTTTGAGAGTGTTTCAGTTCGATATGTTCATCTAATTTATGGAAAACGCCATGTCGTCTTCAATCTATCTCATTGTTGCCTGTTAGATTCAATAGACACATTTTTCTTTCACATAGATTTTGACGAACGTCAATCTCGTTCCTTCGAGCTCGTGTGAACGACCTTCATTCACCTTGATTTCTTCAATTAGACAAAACCTATCACGATTGAGAGAAAAAGGAAACAATGCTGTTTACTACCATTATAAATATTAATTCTCGATAACAATGCAGAAAAACAAACCGATGAGTGTAACTTTTAACGTGATTTCTACTGTATAAAATATTTATTCGAAAGAAAGCTTTTTCCTTGTCATATTCCTTAAGGACACATTGTCGACGAGATTGACTTCGGTAAACGAGTCTTAGCATGAGGTAGACATACGATAAAATAAACAAATCTACATGCGCACTTTCCCCTTTCGCCTTTCCATCGATCATAGAACATACAAAATCGGTAATAGAATATGAGGTTCCTTCCTTTGTAGACTCTATCCTCATTCGTCTCATTAATTGAGAAGAGACTACACGTCTGTCTATTTATCCTACGAATTCGACTGATCAAAATGAGAAGAACTTCGTTTTCTTGCTTTGTTTGGACATTCGAAAAGAACAACAAGGACTTGATACTTGAAGGATTAATGTGAACGTTTTCAGCGCGGGTACGTGAAATTGGATTTCCATACGAAATCGATTCGTTTTCCTGGATATAGTTAGGAACATTAGTAAAGGATTAGTGCTCGCATCTTCACTAAAGCCTTCAAAAATTTAGGAAACAGTAGAAGCTTCGCCTAGCCTGAATTCGATCTTTCTTTAATCTGAACTAGATCCATTTTTAATAGAATTTCTAGATGGCGTATATTTTCTTAATTAAGTTCTTTCAGTTGACAAAGTTTTATGTAGTACTCTCTTTGTCATTCATTAGAATCTTTAAATGTATCATTGGTTTGATCAACATATGTCACGTAAGTTCATATTACGCTTTTTTCTTTCCTTTGCTTGATTAATTAAGCAACACAATCATACATCTCCTCGAGAAATGACAAGATCTGATTATTTGGAATAGTTTTGATTGATAGTTTCGTTTGTTTCTGTGTCATCGGTGATGAGCGTTCCTTCCGAAGACGAATTGAATGAGAGAGAAACAATGAAAAGATCCTTGTTGAAGCTAGTAATGAAATTATCTCGTCGTAAAACTGAGTTTTTCGTTTTCCGAGACGACTAGAGTAGGTTAATGATGCATATCTATTGGTAAGATGGTTGATTACAGTTTGCGGAAAGAGAACGAGAGAGAGAAAGAGAAATGGTTATTTTATATACAAAATTATGTGCTATTATTGCGCGACAACAAGCAAATCACAATTGAGTTTGAAACTCGTCCGGGAAAAACAATCAGCTGACTTGTTTTCGTTTAAGTTCATTACGAAACCAGTCTTCTGCTGTGTTCACTTTCGGAAGTGAATAAAATTACGGAGAATATTGCACGATAATAATCGGCTCGTTCCCACGCACCCTGTGTCACAATTGGCGGGTTCAACCGACGAAACTTCATCAGCAAAAAAGAATGACTGTTAAGTTCATACAAAGAAAAAAAAACGAGAGAAATTAGTTAGGAGAGTAATATTTGTCTTTCTAGGTTCTTTTCCTGCGCTGCCATCATGTTTTCGATGTTTTCTATCATTCTTTCTGATGACAGCGTAGTAATAGCAAAAAAAAAGAAGAAGAAGAAGATGAAGAAAAGCGACAAGTTGGAATCGAAAGAAAGAAAATCTCGATTGTTGTTTATATATGAATGAATATTAGTGAGAGAAACTTGAAACTTGCTTTCTCATTTGCTTTCGGAAAGAAGAAACTTTCGTTATTATCATCCGAGATGACTTTCAATCATCGTTTCTCTCTAATTGGTCATTCAATCATGTTAAATAAGAAGAGAAATGTTTGTCGAAACCGTCATTTCGATTAGATCGGATTAAAGGCGTGAGTTATTTAAAATACATTGAAGTTTGTCCCCCCGATGGACTTACATGATCCCGATTTATTAGAAGCTACACGAGGATCGTCGTATTATTGAAATATATCTTCTTTTTTTCCTGTCATTAACGATCTATTTTTATGATAGTTTTTATTAACAAACATATTTCTCACCCTTCTTCTCATAAAGTGAATCCGAACACGATCTTTGAAACTTCCTCTAACCTTCCGACCGAGTGTTAATAGGAGAAGATCAATGTATAAGTTAATCCATGGGGGAAAGTCAGCTATGATAGAGAATATAAAAAAGAATAATTATCACTATGGTATTATGTAAAACTGGAAGTATTTTGCCGTCATTGACAAGCAGAGGCGAGTTTTCTATCTTAGACAAGTCAACACTCCGACGTCTATCTATCGAATTAACACATCTGAGTTTGCATTCTTATGCGTTAATCATTATTTCGTCAGTAGCATACCAAAATCCTATATTTATTCTATTGATTCATAGATAAGGAAGATTGGGGAAGAAAACAGATGCATATTTCGTCTCTGAAATAGGTATGACGGAAATGTCGATTCAGTTTTTCACTTATTTAGTAGACAAATATTATGTTTAAATGACCTCTCGATTAATTTGCATAATTTATCATTGTTATAGACGGGTTTCTCTCCTTCCCTGCAATAGATTTCTTGTAGACAAACAATGCTTACATCTAATTAATAATAGAAAGAGCGTCGTCTTTCTTTTGCTCTTTATTCTTCAACGTTCATATCTTTACGACTAAAAATGGCAATCCATTATAGTTCGACATAGATACTTCTTCTTCTTCTTCTTTTCTTAACAGGCGGATATTACACATCCGCTATTCTCGTAGGACCGATCGAGTCTCATCTCAATAAAGATGTTTGTCTATTCTTTTTTTTGTTTTGAAAGAAAGCATATGGAAATCTTCTGTTCTATCCATGATGATATACGGAAAGTCAATTGATTATTTTCATGTCATTTTTAGATTGCCATGGAACATAATTCAACTGAAAACTCGTCGTTTATATCAAATACTACACAAATTATCGATATCGATTACAGTATTGATTATATTCTACTGTTTCGTCTCGTTGTCTGGGGTTACATCGGTATGGTCTTAAGCATATTCGGTATCGTCGGAAATATCATAACTATCCTAGTTCTAATATTACCATCGATGCGAACGACATCAACGAATATTTATTTAACAGCAATTTCATGTTCAAATATACTCTTTCTTCTTATATTTATTCCAACTTATTCAATGAGATATCTGTTAGGATATAGTGTATATATGTCGAATCAACCTCCGTTTGCATTTGAAATCCTTCTTCTACGTTTACCTACAACACCTGTTTATAATACCATAGTTTTATCAATGATTTACTTGACACTTGCCCTTTCGATAGATCGGCTTATATCAGTGAAATTTCCGCTTGAATCCAAACATATCTTAACTAAACGTCGAACCTTAATCGCGATCTTATGTGTCTATCTTTTTTCCATTCTCTACTGTATTCCATATTGGGTCGAACAAGCATATGATCCGAAAGACAAAGTATGTCGACTAACGAAGTTTGGACAGAAAATCCATAAATATACAAGAATTTATGTCTACATCCCTGTTGTTTATGTTGTGCCACTACTTACATTAGCATGTGTTAATACGAATATTATTAAAAATTTGATTAAAAAGAAACGTCGCAAACAAAGTCTGGTTGGCAAAACAATAGCAGCTAGAAAGAAAACAGCTGATTATCATATCACATTAATGCTTGTGGCAGTTGTTATTGCCTTTGTACTTAGTCAATTACCACTGCTTGTCTTAAATGTTTGGTTTGCAATTGATCATCAAGCACCAACGAAGAGTTTAAAATTTCAAACGTTAAACTCCGTTGGTGTTCTACTTCTTGTTCTCAATACATCCACCAATTTCTTACTCTATTGCTGTTTTGGTCAAAAATTCCGACAGACATTAATTGAATTCATTCTGAATCTGTTTCCGAATCACATGAAAACAATGCAGAGAAAACGGTCAAGTTTAAAGCAAAACCAATTATCAATAGAAGCACACCAACAGCGTGTATCGCGCTCGTCGTCAACCGTTACGAATGATTCGAAAATGATTCGTATCAAAGTCGATGATTTGAACCCGAATGCTTTGAATGGATCATCGTCACAATTAGATCAAATTCCAATGAGAAAATCCGATGAACAATTGCGTCCATTGTTGCCATCTCCGATTCTTAATTCTCCAAATTCAACTAAACAATTGTCTTCAATAAAAAACAGTCTGTCGACGGATTCTCATCAACCTTCACCGCTCAACACACAACAAATATTGACAATAAAGATTTAATAAACAAGTCACATAATTCCTATCGGTGCTATTTTCATGAAACATCACTCTCATCTGTTTTCGTTTCCGATGTGCTCGTCTCTTCTAGCAACGAGAATCCAAGTGGCAAAACAAGTCTCTTCTTCGACATATCTACGACTGTTTCATTAGTATTCGAAATGAAACGGAAGACTAATAACAACAGATACTCATTAGGTGACTTTCATTTGTTGTTTTTTTCATGTCACCATTTCCGACGTGATGAAAGATTATATTACAGTGCTAATGAGCTTAGCACAAAAATCTAGCTGTCTTGTGACTTGCTTGGAGATAACTTATCAATCAAACATCCTGCTTGTCGCTGTGCATGGGAGGAGAAAACCTTAACTAAAATATCGTCTTTCGATTGTCAAACAAATTAAACCTAATCAATAGATTCGTTTGCGCTCCAGTAACACGATATGTTCTGTTCTCGATAATTAATGGATAGATGATAACCGATGAAATTCACAGTGCTCCTGTAGTCGGAATTCACACAAAACCAACTATCATATATAGAAACAGTGTCGGAAATCGACTCTCGACAAGACATTGTAGTCAGGAGTACAAACAACTTATATTTCAATAGCTACTCGATCATTGTCAAAATAATAGATCATGAATGACGTTGTATCTCTTTTCTCTTTTCAAGTGCAAGGAGCATTACGAATTGAACACGTTTTCTACTCGATGTTCGAACTCACAATGAATCTCTTTTGTTGTCCTTGGATGAAAGTGGTTAATTCATCGGAGAAATAGTTTGTTCGTTGATGCACTTTAACTAAGATGAAACCATATTCATTCCGAATAAGTTTGTGTCCTCGATGACACATTCTGTCGAATCCAATGTATGTGTATATAGTTAGAAAGATTTATTTATTTATTTATTTCTATCTGAATAAGTAACATACAATAAAAAAAAAACAGAATTCAATTGATATTAATTTGTCATTAATGGTACAACACCGATCATATATCCATTGAAGTTGACTCCGTCTCGATTGAGAGCATTTTGACAGGAGACATGACTAGTATAGGTTATGTTGAGGAAATTACCACTTTCACAGCCTAATGGACGTTCAATTTTGTCAATTGGACCGATATCGTGGAATTGCTGAATTATTAGTTCTATATCTTCCTCGCGAAAGCCAAATACTGACACACCTGTGACACCTGGCGGCTTTTGATTTGCATTATTCATCGAATAATTCAAAGACTTCTTCTTTTTTGTCTTCATATCTGTGTAGGAAAAAGCAGGAAACACATCTGTCATTGTTCGTAATGGAACAATGGTTTTTTCCGTTGGTACGTCAACGATTTGTGTGGTCGAACGTGTTGTTGGTCGAGTAGAAGTTAAATTACTCGATGGACTTGCAGCAAATAAACGACTCTGATTCGATTGTTTCGCTGATAATCGACTTGCATTTGTTGCCAATGTGGACATGGGACTCTTTGCTAATGGAGAAAATGCTTGAGCTGATAGAAATGATGGCATCGCGTTGGATGAAGGAGTTGAAATACGCTGTTGAAAAGTTTGATCCAAAAGAAAACATGGATAAGTGTCATGAGCCGACATTTGTCGTTTAAATTCTTGATGTTGCTGTTCAATGGACGATGACGATGACATATCGATTCCTCTAGAATAGAAGATGCAGTTATCGATTGTTCTTGTTAAATTCAAAACCAAAGCATGCGATTTCGCGTACCTTTATGAAAGTAAGGCAATCAATGGTGAAATCTCGTCAATATAGTTTCCTACTGGTGACCAATTAAATTTTAGGTAGATGGAAACTAGTGAAAAATTAATGTTTAACACTATCTTATTTCGATAAAAAGACAAAGTTGGTTTTCTAAGCGTTTTTCCAGTACGAAACCAATCAACAAAATCGAATGGTATTCTGCGCCATCTGTTATAAATGGTCCGTAGTAAAGTGAAATCTTTTGGTGAAAGTATTCAGCATATTAACTACGCTTGCATATCTACAAAATATATATCTGTTGATTGTTTATAGATCAGATCATTCTCTGCAGTAAATTGTTGAAATATATATTTATGACTAAACAATTACAAACAGATATAACACACTGTTCTTTGTAGAACATAACTTTTAAAAAATTCATTACTAGAAACTCGGAATACAATCGAAATAATTCGTTTCAATATAAGAATGATTTTGTTTTGCAAAAGAGAACAATGTATGGTAATAATGTTCGTGTCCATACGGTACAGAAGATCGATTGACATAGAAGACGTATGGATAGATAATGAAGATTACGATTGAAGTCGCCATCCTAAAACAAACAATAGAAATAGATTATGAAGGTAAAATAGAATTGAAAGAAATTACTTGACAATATTTTTCATCCATTTGATCGGCAACAACCCGTAAGGATTGTGCGATTTGTTTGCAAATTAGTTTGGTTTGATCGTTCGAAGACGACTGAGGAACTTGTCGTTGCTCACAATCATTCACAATATCGGGAAGATGTGAATACGTTCGATTGATATTCACAATCATCATTGATTTGTGAGATATAAGTTGTGATAAAGGATAGAGAGTTGTGTTTTCAGACATTGTAACACGTTGTAGTCTAGCGGCCTCACACGTCTTGATAGATGGTGTGATATCTCAGCACAGAACGAGAAAGTGTATGTTGTGCGTGCGTATCACCAGCGGTGACCGATAGGCAATCGTGTTTTTGATTGAATGAATGATTGAGTGTTAATTCTCTCTATTTATAGTTGTCGATGAGGAGAAGAACAATTTAGAATTATGTTCTCTTTCCTTTCTCTTCTCAAACATGAAGAATGAGAGAATTAGATACTTTTGTCCTTTCCTTTCGGTCAACTTTTCGTCAACGTTGTCTAGCAACGAGACGAGTTTGCTACTTTTTTCGTGACCTCTACTTGCCACTTTCCTTTTTCGTTCGGATACATGCATACACGTGTCTTTGCAGACAGGAGGATTAACAACATCATTATAGTGTTGACATATTCTCCATATTTCGTGCTTATCTTTGTCTGAAAACGCGGTATAGGACGATTATTTTAAGGAATATTCATTCGAAAATGGTTGAGCTATATTAACATAAACTGAAGTAGTAATCCCTTCGCTATTTAGTAAGTGAAATTGGACATTAGTATTATCCGAGAATGATGGCGATTAGAAAGTAATCGTATGTTAAGTGGAATTGATCGAACTATTGATTGATTGATAGTCCCAAGCGATAAACATATGTTAATAAAGTGAAGGAAAGCTCGAAGTCTTTCTCTTGCTTTATGAATTCTGACTGTATTGCTCGAGTTTGTTATTTTGATTGCGTTCATACGCAGGTGTGATGAATAAATAGACTGAGAAAACGACTCTATTGTTTCCTACGATCTAAACTTTGTTTAATAGACAGATTTCGATGCTGATAAATTGATTTTCACTAAGGTATGAAACACGGGACATATCAACAGGCAGAATGTAATTGTTTTCTCTTCTGTTATAAAGCTATGTCTTATCTAATGAATGCCAATACGCTTGATTAGCTGTGAATGGGCCATGTAGAGGAAAACAATAGCTCTATTTCAGTAAATGACTTTTACCATCTCTAGTTGTGCACTTTATTTTTTTCTGGAACAGATCATTCGAACAAAAGGAGCAGTAATACGAGATTATGCTGTCATTGTTAGCGTATGAAAGAGAACAATTCAGACATGAGCATGCGCTCATCAATAGTATGTACTTTGTGTTTCACCTTTTTCTTTGTCACTTTCTATATTGTTCACAATACGATGTCTCAATAGGCAATTCTTTTTTATTTGATGTTCTACCGCATCAATTTGTCTTTGTACCTATCGTGATGTTTGCAAACTGACAAACATCATTATATCTACTTCTCTTTTTTCAAAAAGATACCGAACGACCGTAGCTAGACACATTAGTCATTAGGGAACAAGAGAAAAATGAGAGAAATAGTTTCTGTTCATTTGAACATATAAAAACAGTGACTGGACAGTTATCTAATTGCTTTCGAGCTGCATGATATTGGCGTCAACAAAACATCGTGACGACTAAACAGCACGTCGTAGACGTCGTTCGGTCACATATGTACTAGGCATACCGGAATCCACGATAAACAGACAAGATGGATGCTATTTATTATATTTTGCCATTGTATTCTGAAGTATCTGTATAACACCTACACAGTTCATTTCCGTTTGACTGTCTGCACTGTTAACATAAAAGCGGAAGTTTTCCTCTTCACAATTCAGATGTTCATCAATCTAATATAATGGTCGAATGACTACTGCATTGGCTGATTGATATGCGTATTCGGAGTGGTTCGGATGATCAGTCGGCGGGCTTCAAACAGGGAATAATCAATGTTGATTTTACTACTAGCAGTATTAGAGAAAATGACACTTAATTGCTAAGTAGACTAACAATCAAAGCAGGAAAAGAGTCGATTCATCAGGTGCGATATGCATATACGCGTGTGCCAAGTGTCAAATCAAACTTCTAATCCTGTTGAATGAGATTACCAGAAGGAACGATTCAAGTTTAGAAGATCAAAGACGACATGTTGTTTTTCTACTGGGAATTGATCTCGGATTGCTTCTCCTCCTCTGTCATCTTTGATTTTATTAGCCTTGAGCGATAAAATTCTTTCATTTGAGTGCATGTACTATCGCATCGATGATGAGATTATCCATGGATAATAAGGAGCACTGATGCATAAATCAACGAGCCGAAATATTTGTTTTTCTTTTATTACAAAACCAAATTCATTCGACACGGTATTGTTTGAAATAGAATTAGTGCAAGTAAAAAAAAACAGATATAAATCGAGCACCAACTATAGAACAGTGATATATGTATACTAAGGTTCAACAGGAGCGGTTGGATGTGAAGTTGATAGTGAGCTACGTCTGGAATGATACTGAGGCGGTGCATTTGGTGCCCTTGGTTCAATATTGAAATCAGTCGGATGTGTTGTGACAAACGTGTAAGGTGGTGGAATTCCGTCCTTTATGGAAGTGTCTTTTATGATCGTATCATAATCCGGTAAATCATCATTATTCACTATATAAACAGGATTTACGTATGTAGGACTTGGAGTAGGTGTAGCTACTAGAATTTAAAGCAAATTCGAAGTTTTTGTGGTAGAAAAAGTCAATTATACCTCGAGAACGATGGCTACAAGGGCATTTGTGCCCACAGAAACACGTTTTCCATAATGGCCGACAATATAGAATACAAATAGCGAGGACGCAGACACCAGTAAATACAAAAAACGGAATTGCACTAAAGAGAAAACTCATTGAAGATGAGCGCTTTCCAAGTCAATATTGACTCACATCGAACCCCATGAAATAGTTGAGCAACAGGTTGTATCGGACGACATTCCTATCGATGTACAACAAGCATCGCTACAACTAGATGAGAAGGAAAAAGGAAATTTCAGTTCGAGTTGAATCTAATCGAAATTGTCTTTACCTCATCGCTACTCGCGTAGAATTCGGAAGTCGATAGAAACATATTTCGGTGGCTTCGACCTATTAATACAATAAACGCTTAACTAATTCATATGAAATTTGTGTTGAAATGAATAACCTTGATGAAGTCGAAGTGTTGGAAGACGAGGACGTACAAAATAATAACTAGTAGTAATGTATTCATTTTCTAGTTTGTCAATTCTTGCACACACATAGACAATGAAGAGAAACACAGTGTTTCTTGTTTGTTTGTTTTCGATACTGGTGATTGAAACGAATGATTGAGAAAAAGAAAGAAAAAAAGCGTCAAATCAATTCATTCTTTTGCCATTTTGTTTGCTTGATCGAGTTTTTTTTTTCAAAGTAAAAGAAGAAGAGAAGAAAAAACAGAATACATAATCACAGCTTCGCCCGTTTTTTTTCTCTCCTGGTGTCGCAAAGGATGAAGCTCAAGTATTTTTCAACATAAGAATAGAACTTTTTTTTTTCTTTTTCTCGTTTCCTTCTATAATCATTCACCATTTTCCTACCAATGCCTACTAGCTATTACTCATATGTTTTTAGATGACTTATAGTCGGGGAAAGTACATTATGAAATGCCAGAGTCATGTAAACGCACTTCGATTGTCGAAGAATAGATTGAATGACTTGCGTCAGCATGAAAAACATTTTTTTATACACAAATCGCTGTCAACCAAGTAGGTGAAATACTTCTATTTTCAAGAAACTACACCTCTCAACGGCTGAACTTGTATAGCTTTGATAGCATTGTCGACTACGGTTCATTCTATATTTTTGAATGAGAAAATACTGAAAAAAACTATGATCGATTTCACCACGAATAAGAACTTTTCCACTTGGAATGTGTACATTTTATAAATAGACATCGATTCAAATCATCATTTGTTTGGTTCGTTCAAATGAATATATGTTGGAGGTGGAATTTGTTCAGCAGTGGTAATTGTTGTTTGTGATGGTATTCTTAATTGCACTTGTTCATTTGTCGTTATTTGATGAAGATCTTTTTTAGTATCTCCTAACGAATCATACGATGGAGGTGCTTCTTCGAACATAAATGGACTGTGATGAGCATTATAGATAACCGTAGCAATAGGAGCACTGGCATGATCAGTAGATACTAAACGAAAAATCAAAAGAATTTGCGAGCGCGAGAATGACAATGCCGTACCAATGGGAGAATCGGTTGGTGCTCTTTGGGATCGTTTTTTATTGTAACGATAAATACAATATATAAGAGTACAAAGAATAACGGTAAAAGCCACTGGAACCAGTATTACTAAAAGACTGAAACAGAACAAATGTTATTGTCATATGATATAGTTTAATAAATAGTCACAAGGACAAGGTTATTCATCAAATATTTGATATCGTTTGTTTTCAAACTGAATGCGATGAATGTAACGTCTTTTAGTGAAGGATCTTACATAAGTATATGTGTTGCATCATCGAAAGGTTTCGATCGGAATATATCGCGATTATTATTCGAATTTGTTGGTATTACTGTCGTCGGAACACGATTATCATTGCCAGGTCTTGATGGAAGTTGACGAAACATGTTTGTTTTATTAAACAAGTGTTTTTGTATTCGAAATTCTCGATATTTTGATTCGTCTACAGCACGTACTGTTTTTAGTGCTATACTAATAAATGAATGAGTATATGACAGAAAAAAGAATCATGTTTTACTTTCCCCCTCCGCTTATTTTCTTTATTGGATTTCTTTTTTCTCTTTCTCATTTTTTTCGTTTTCTTTGTGTGATATGTGCAAACACCTGCATTGGTCTACATACATAAACGACGTTTTGATAGGATGGTGATATCGATTCCTACGCAACTTTTCTTCCGAAAGGTGTACACAAAAATCGGTATTAGTATTATATACACGACAACAAAACACAGCGTTTCGAAGTTGACACTTTGTCATCAGTTTTTTATCATACATTCTTTTACTAGTAGGATTATTACTGAGCTTCTGATTGATACTTTGTCTTTCAAGAATCTGCTATTCGTACTTTTCGGTTTGCAATACAAGGTTTTCTATTTTAATGCAAAAGTAATACATAGAAGTTTTTATACTGCTGACGTAGACCAAAGAAAAACAAGATTGACAAATATATGTTGGTACAAAGAATAATACCACGTCACAACGATTGAGGGCTGCGCGAATACCAGTACATTTCATAATCTGATTGGTTCTGCGAACAAAGGCTTTTTCAGTTATATACCTATCATCCTACTTTCAATGGAAAACAACTAAGACAGTATCTCTTGCGCTGACATGTATTCTCATGTACTGATCCTGTTTAGGGTCTGAAAAACTTAGAATAGGTTAGCTTGTACTATCATTTCATCGAGCAAGACGATGAAAATGATGCAAGTTGTAATAGTGATTCTCAACACTAAAATGGTTTGACATTATGATGCAAAAGAACTTGAAGACCAAATTAGGGTCAGTACATGAGAATGTCGATATATTGATTGCAATATTGTAGCATCAAAATATTTGATAGTAAGATTTAAAGTATAATTTGTATTTATATTTGCGTATATCTGTTCTGTTGGCAGATACCATTGGAAATTGATCGATTTTTTGGACAAAATTGTTCATCATCTCCATTATGATAATCTTTCACGTTATCACATAAATCCAAATACGAGATACACACTGATAGAATTGTTTTCATACAATAAAAATCTTCCTAAATGCTCATACATTCCATGAACAAGTTTTGGTTCATCCGTGCCATCAAGAAAATCAACTAGACCATCATTCAGTTTATCAATCGATAAACATATAAACTGACATGTATCTAAAGAACAAATAAGTACAGTTGTCGATACATCACAATCGAATTCATCATGTTCATCCCAACGATTTCATGCACCAGCACAATGTGTAGAACGTATAGTACAAGTGGACGTTCTCCATTTACAGTCAATATATATTCTATTGGATTTGGAAACATGAGATAACAACTGAAAGTGAACCAGTATTCATTCGATACAAAATTATCTTTCGTTGAAAATATTTCACTGAATAGCTGTGAACCTGTTTAATGGTATCAATTGGTACTGACCATTTGTATAGCTCTCTTCACTTGTGATATTCTTATTCGCGAGACAAGTCTTGCAAAAATTTTATGTAGAATTTCGTCTCCTATGTAGAGAAACATCTAAGATGTAGGTAAAATTTTTCCAATGTTTGTCCCATGAATCAAAATACCACCATTCGATGCAGAATTGAATTCTGAATCGAATGGACTAGTTCGTACGGGCGGGACTAATTTAGTGAAAAGCTTTTTAGTTAACACATCGTTTCGTCGTACTAGCTCTATCGTGTTAGTTTCACACCGATGTTATAGGTTGCATACAGGTCAGAGTAATTATAGCAATATATCCCGTTACATTACTGCGTTGAATAATGTATTCGTATAAATATCAGAATTTTCCTACAATGCACCCATATCAGCAATAGTGTCTTGTTTTGTATAAAGATAACGATGTCGGTATATTTTGCACTCTAGAATATCATGTCTCTGACGTCACTTTGTACTTTATTGATCAACGTCATTTAGAATTCGCAGTTGTCATAGTCGGATAATTGGAATACTATTTGATGTAATTATTATTTAATTTTATTTAATAATAGATTATTATGGGAGAATACATGTGTTACAGAATCGTGCACATTTTCTCTTCTGAAAGTAGACTTATGTTATTTATCAGTTATCGCTATCAGTTAGCCACGAAACCAAACCATGCCAAAACGATCTTGACTATAGAAAAAGTAATTTTTTCATCCATTCATTGCTGTTTGAGGTGTTAAGAAGATTTCGGAATATGTCGGTGGCATCGTTGAGTACGTAGGCGACGGTGTGTTCATTGGCACTGTCACGTGTATAGTTGGTATGACGCGAATTGGTGAAAATAACGGTAATTGTTTTCGTCTTGTTTGATACATTGAGCTAGTGTACGAGGGTGGAGATTGTTCTGAGATCGGTAAGCGTTCACGGAGTCGATGCTGCTGTTGATCGCGGTAAACAGTTGCTACATCGATTGCATAGTTTTCCCGAACGATCCGACCACGCGGACAACGAAAACGTCCCATCGAGTCTAAAGTAGTACTTCGATACAGACGAAAACTTTTATGTAAATAAAATCAAGGACATGTTCATTAGATTTCATTGTTTTCTTTTCCATTAGTTTCAAGTGGAAACGAAGCATCTCACACTTAACCTTTTCTCAATCATCGATAAGATTCATTTACTCCTGAACACTCAAGCCACATCCTACTTGTTGGTCGGTGCGATTTGCGATTCTGGCATTGATGAGAATGATACATAAGGATACAAATAACAATAGCCACCGCTACCGGAATGATCACACTCAAAAGACTTAATAATTAAAGCTTGAAATAAGTCGTTGAATTCAGTTAGTCGATATACCTACATAATCAATGATATGGTATCCATTTCACCGTTTGCTATACAGAAATCTTTGAGTGGACATAAAGCAGAAAGCAAAAGACAAGTAAAAAGATCACGACGAAAAGTATCGTAAAAACAACATTTCGCACGAGTGCAAAGTCAATGTGTTTCAATGATAAAAACTCTTGCGGAGATCAAGCAAAGCGAAAAAAGTTTCATATCAAGAACGAAAGAATCGTTTTCGATCTTTTTCTATCTTGCACGCAATCGCTTTCTTTCGACTTTTTTTTTACATTCTTTTAACGAATGTCAAGAGAACAAAAAATTCGTCGTTCAATGACTTATCGAAAATGTGTTCAACAGAATCGACGTTCTAAGAAAACATTCGCTGTCACATGATGTGTCATATTTGACTTACGCATCTCGAAAATTACATCTTTTGCAATCATAATCATTCAGTAATTAAACTGTTATTATGGCGAGAAAGGAGATTCTGGAGAACGACTTTATGATGCAACAACTTGGATATAAGTTTTTATGCATAATGTCTATCTTTCTCTTCACAATGAATTTGTTTGAGTACGTTTTTTGTTCACAAGTGATATACGAAATCAATAGAGCAGATATATACAGTGAAGAAGTAACACACAAGAAGTAAACAGAGTAGTGATTAGTGATAAGCAAAAAAGGTGAGTTCCCGAACTGTAACGATGAAACATATTGTTATAACTAGTAGCGCTGATGATGTTTGGATATAACAACGATTAATAAAGCTAAAAGATAATAAACCACGTGTGTGATTCGCGTGACTGTAACGGCCAAAGCGCCATCGCTTAAAAAACATCGAGTTTTAGGTGAGAAAATTAAGGACAAGAAATATGATTACCTTATGTCCTGGCTGTTGCAAATGCTGGTTTGACAATACTTCACGCATATAGTTTTGCCTTCTGTTTTGCTCGACAGACATTGTGCTTGATGAGTAGTATTGCCCGACGCTGACGTTGGAGGTGCTGTGCAACCTCGACTGAACTGTAGTAGTTTTCCTAAAAGCATAGAATATTCGATTTGGCATTAACCATGGTTAGCCAATTCGTTTCCAACCTGCGGTGTTTGTGGTTCTTTTGCTGTAGCAAATTTGTTGTTTCGTTTCGCACATGATCGTCGCCGTCTGATTGGGACTCATTTGACAATCGCTGTTCTCCTTCTGACTGTCGCAAGAGTAGCATAGCATACCTATAGAAGGCTATCAGTAGATGAAGAATGATGTCGGCAAGAAAGGAAGGAATATATTCAGTACCTTGCACAGGATCGAAATCGACCGCCTTTTCTGGTGCACAGGTATCGAACTCGGACGTCGTACGACTGAGTATTGATATGGATTTGCTAGATGCAGACTCTTTCGATTTCTTCTTTTTCGTCGATGTGCCTGCATCGTGAGAGGTGTCGTCATCATCATCGCCATCATCATCCCCATCATCGTCGCCTTTGTCTGCAGATCGTGTTACGCCAGCTACTGGATTTTCGTAACCTTCGACAAGTTCTTCGCAATTCAGCTGAGGAAAAATACAGTTCAAACATAAAAAGAAAACAATGGCAAAACGTACTTTATCCATGCCAACCCATTTACAAGTTTTTTCATTTGGATCAAAATAAGCACCTGAAAAAAAATAGACATTCTATAAAACCAAGATAACGATAACTTATGTAATTGACCTGTATAGCAAACTTCGCGTTTTTGTTCACCCCATTGACTGCCTACCCCTCGGCATAGAAAGTAACTCTTGCAATCGGATGGATCAGGCCATTGTCCATCTTTCAATTCTTCGCATACATCTTCCGGTGCTGATAACAAATATAAGAAGATGTCTTCTTGTTTGCAATCATTAGTAAATGACATATCATACTTGGCGAATCAGCATCACGTTTGGATTTCTTTGGCTTTTTCGTTGGTTTCTCAGTCGTTTGCGGTTGAGTTTGTGGTTTGAAGTCTAAATGAAATCATTCATAAATCTTTTCATTCAGACGAAATTGTACTTTTCCTACCTTTGTATTCTTTTGTTGGGCAAGCTGAGCAAATTTTCTCTTTTGGCAGTAACTTTACTTGTCCATGTAGAATAGCTTTGATCGTTTTGATCAACGGAAATTTTCCTTGACAGCAAAATTGACCTCGAAAATCGTCCATATCCAATGTCCAAATCATCGCTCCACCCAAATTATTTTGTTTAACATAATTTGCCTTTTAGACCAAAGCACATGCCTATTTGTCTGTTTGTTTTACTAACCTCTCACTTACTTTATATTTCATACTACGAACATTTTCTACGCCAGCCTTTGGTTGATTGTACGGTCCAGCGATGTACGGAACAAGTTGTTTAGCGTCCCAAGTTTCTTTCATTTTTTCACACACGATTTGAATGCAGCTCTGAAAGCAATGACTCAATTTCAAAACGTTAACTATTAGTTTGACTAGTTTACTTCATAGTAGGCAACGAAACCATTTTCACCTTTAAATCCTGTGTAAGGCATTGCCGGTGTATCACCTCGGCCGTATGTTCCCATGCCTAACATCATTTTGCTTGGTGGCATACCTAATTTTTGGAAATATTTAACAGCGAAATCCTATCAAAGATACATTTCGACTAGAATAAAGATCACTTCAATGTCTGTAACACTTACGATGTACATTGTGTCATCTTTTTCGTTATCTTTACTGTTCAATGAAGAATGATGGGCACGGTTCTGATCCCATGAACCGTGAAAGTCATAAGTCATCAAATTGAACCTTTTATTCAAGAAGAAAGCCGTTTTTTTTTAAAGTTAATCTTTGATTAAACATACCAATCGATTACTCTAAAGTGAAAATGATCATTACAATGTAGATTATGTAATAGAAAACAAAGCTTACGGAACAAGTTTATCCACTTCGTATGCTTTATCGATATTTACTTTTGCAGCTGCCACAGCAGCGGTAAGAAGAAGACGTTCATTTCCAGTTGTTTCTGCTTCTTTTTCGAATGTCGCATATAAAATCTAGATGAAACCTTGAGTTTACTTGAATCAGTCTTTATACTCTTATACGGACCTCACACATTTTGGTAAAGCGTTGTTTATCTTCTTTAGGACTATCTCTCCAATCGACACCTAAGATGAAAATAACGCAATGAAATAAATCCGTAGGAAATGATCTTTACCAGGATATTCGAAATCTAAATATAAAATTGATGGATAGTTATCACGATGAATAGTTAACATTTACTTACCAAGATCCAAACCGTCGAATTTGTGTTTTCGTAAATATTTCACTGCTGACTCAGCAAACTTCTTCATTGTCTTCTCAGATTTAACAATACCTATCAATGACAAGTATCTTTCCTCATCGCGTTCCATTCAGACAGTTGAAGTGAAAATAAACAAAACAAGCTGTATTAGTTTACCTGCAAAATCCTTCATTCCCATATCCTAAACACGTCATTCGAAGAATACTAATACATCTTTACTCTAGAAGAGTAGCATACCCAACCACCAACGGCAAGTAAGGTTTTCAAATTCTTATTGACGCTTTTCCAAGCATTGAATCGTTCGAAAAAGCCTAAACAATCGAGTTTTTACGGATTGCGAATCGGCACGCGTACGTACCCGGTTGACTTCCATCTTTAAGATCATGTTTTTCCATAGGAATCAATTGGTTATTTTCCATTTCGGAAAAAGCATATATAATATGTGTACATAGACATGGATCGATATCTTCTGGTACCATTGAACCTCCACCAGGACGTTTCATTGCTATGATATCAAACATAGCTATTCAGAATGAATCGAGACGTGAACAATCCTACCCCAATTGGTAAAATAACAAACAATTTTAAATTTTTGATCAGCAGCGAGAAGAAAGGAGACTAAAGAAAACGAAATCAATGTGTTCGAGTCGATAAAATCTACAGGTTTTACTTTGGAAGGACAGCAGAATGAGAAAATAGAGTAAAAAATGCATGGTAACAATTCGTCCTCCTCTTCTGGAAGTGTGCGAGATTTTACAAAGTGGTTTGTTCCTCGATTAGAACAATGATGAAACATGAACGATCACCGATGGCAAACACATACCGATCGATAACGAAAGCAACATGACGTAAACGTTAAGAGAAGAGAGATTTATTTTCGTCTTCATCTTCCCTCTCTCTCTCTCACGAACAGGTACGGTCATCGATCGAGCCGTTTTTATTGTCTCTTGGCTTTATATGATTATGTTTGTTTTATAATTTGTTGACTCGATCTTTTCTTTGTTCTCTACTCATTTAGACCTTTTTTTTTATCTTGCTTTAGTCACTGTTATTGTTATAGTTCACGAGATTAAGAATGTACATCTTTCCGACTGGTTTTTACAAACAATTGAATAATGCATGAAGTACTTATCTAAGCTATGCAAATGACTTTGTGTTCTTAGGTAAATAACGAGAGATTGATTAAAGAATGTGTGAAAAGATAAGTTACACATCTTAATTAATAGTAATACTCCTCTGTATGCGTACCGATTGTTATAATGGTAGATTTTAGTAGTTAAATAGTTCGAAGTTTCTTTTCTTTTTACTTGTTCTGAAGTAGAAAAACAACAACAAACAAAAACAGAAAACAGATTCTTTGCGTTTCCGACGTTACAATAAACCGTATTAACTTTTCATAAAATACTGATTTTTACTCTGCAAACTTGCTAGTTGACCTTGAAAATCAAAATCGATGCCAAATTCGATTTTTTTCTATAGAAAATATATCAAGCAAAAGTAAATAAAATCATTTTTCAAGCATTAGCCTACGGTGTTTTCACGATTGACTTTGCAGTAGTATCTTCCTTCTAAAACTTCATTCTGCTTGATTGTTGCATAATCCGGAAAATAGAAAACCGTCTGTTTCCAATGTGTATGTCCGGCACCGGGTGCTACACGCAGAACACAAAGTTCGATTTTATGTCACAACGTTTTCGAAGTATTTTACCGGTATTGATGACTGTTCTCTGTGCACATGCAGAAAATTCTACTACGAAATAGGTGACA